GACCACAACAGGGGGTGGGGGTGGACCACAACAGGTGGTGGGGGTGGACCACAACAGGTGGTGGGGGTGGACCACAACAGGTGGTGGGGGTGGACCACAACAGGTGGTGGGGGTGGACCACAACAGGGGGTGGGGGTGGACCACAACAGGGGGTGGGGGTGACCACAACAGGTGGTGGGGGTGGACCACAACAGGTGGTGGGGGTGGACCACAACAGGTGGTGGGGGTGGGCCACAACAGGGGGTGGGGGTGGACCACAACAGGGGGTGGGGGTGGACCACAACAGGTGGTGGGGGTGGACCACAACAGGGGGTGGGGGTGGACCACAACAGGGTGGACCACAACAGGTGGTGGGGGTGGACCACGACAGGTGGTGGGGGTGGACCACGACAGGTGGTGGGCCTAAAGAATGAGGGCAGTAAACAGATAAGACAGTAGTGACCTAGTCTGTAGATGGCATGACTAATCACAGTGTGTTGTAGGAAACATGTGACTTGGTTTTTAATTCAACCAGGCTCTCACCTAGTGACTAGTCAGAGAAGATTGTTGCAGAAACGCAGGAGTCTTCTGGTCATTGGGGGGCTGCTTAGTCAGACAATGGTCAGATGAATCAGCTGGACTCTATAACTGTTGAACCTGGACACATATTGTTTTATTGTTGTCTGGTCACATGAACTGAGTCACCTGACACCTGGTGGGTGTCCCAGGTGAATCATTACATGACAATATGTCTCTCTTCTTCTTCACCTCACTAGTGGTCTGTTGGTGTGGGTTGATGATGAGCTCCTGCTTTGCTGGTTATTTGTTATGAGTATATGAATGTATACATATGCCTCATTTGAATATATATATATATATATATATATATATATATATATATATATATATATATATATATATATATCCGTTTGCATTTGTTCATTAAATTAATGCCTTTTGTATTGTAAAGTTATCTCCCCTGTTTATTGAAAAATCCGGCGTACACATGCTAGCTTGATGATATTGATGTTCACACAGCAAAGTATGTTTGTCAAAGTGTTTGCAATATCAAGCAGAACATCTGATAACTGCTGAATATGGCCTCTGCAATATTTTTAAATTCCACTAGTGGTTTTTTTATTGTCCAGACTGTACATTAGCTGCACACTAGCCTACCTCATCAGCAGGTAGCTTCACATATTTTCCTTCCTCACCCTCCTCTATATTACCTGCACATATTTGCCTACCTCACCATCTGTACATTAGCTGCACATATTTGCCTACCTCGCCATCCTGTAGCTGCACATATTTGCCCACATCACCATCTGTACATTAGCTACACATATTTTCCTACCTCACCAGCCTCTAGCTGCACATATTTGCCCACATCACCATCTGTACATTAGCTACACATATTTGCCCACCTCACCATCCTGTAGCTGCACATATTTGCCCACATCACCATCTGTACATTAGCTACACATATTTTCCTACCTCACCAGCCTCTAGCTGCACATATTTCCCCACCTCACCAACCTGTACATTAGCTACACATATTTGCCTACCTCACCCTCTGTACATTAGCTGCACATATTTCGCCACCTCACCATCTGTACATTAGCTGCACATATTTCCCCACCTCACCAGTTTGTGCATTAGCTGCACATATTTACCCACATCACCATCTGTACATTAGCTACACATATTTGCCCACCTCACCATCCTGTAGCTGCACATATTTGCCCACATCACCATCTGTACATTAGCTACACATATTTTCCTACCTCACCAGCCTCTAGCTGCACATATTTCCCCACCTCACCAACCTGTACATTAGCTACACATATTTGCCCACCTCACCATCCTGTAGCTGCACATATTTGCCCACATCACCATCTGTACATTAGCTGCACATATTCCCCCACCTCACCATCTGTACATTAGCTGCACATATTCCCCCACCTCACCATCTGTACATTAGCTGCACATATTCCCCCACCTCACCATCTGTACATTAGCTGCACATATTTGCCCACATCACCATCTGTACATTAGCTGCACATATTCCCCCACATCACCATCCTGTAGCTGCACATATTCCCCCACCTCACCATCTGTACATTAGCTGCACATATTTGCCCACATCACCATCTGTACATTAGCTGCACATATTCCCCCACATCACCATCCTGTAGCTGCACATATTTCCCCACCTCACCATCTGTACATTAGCTGCACATATTTCCCCACCTCACCATCTGTACATTAGCTGCACATATTTCCCCACCTCACCATCTGTACATTAGCTGCACATATTTGCCCACATCACCATCTGTACATTAGCTGCACATATTCCCCCACATCACCATCCTGTAGCTGCACATATTTCCCCACCTCACCATCTGTACATTAGCTGCACATATTTCCCCACCTCACCATCTGTACATTAGCTGCACATATTTCCCCACCTCACCATCTGTACATTAGCTGCACATATTCCCCCACATCACCATCCTGTAGCTGCACATATTTCCCCACCTCACCATCTGTACATTAGCTGCACATATTTCCCCACCTCACCATCTGTACATTAGCTGCACATATTTGCCCACCTCACCATCTGTACATTAGCTGCACATATTTCCCCACCTCACCATCTGTACATTAGCTGCACATATTTGCCCACATCACCATCTGTACATTAGCTGCACATATTCCCCCACATCACCATCCTGTAGCTGCACATATTTCCCCACCTCACCATCTGTACATTAGCTGCACATATTTCCCCACCTCACCATCTGTACATTAGCTGCACATATTTCCCCACCTCACCATCTGTACATTAGCTGCACATATTTTCCTACCTCACCAGCCTCTAGCTGCACATATTCCCCCACCTCACCATCTGTACATTAGCTGCACATATTCCCCCACCTCACCATCTGTACATTAGCTGCACATATTTCCCCACCTCACCATCTGTACATTAGCTGCACATATTTTCCTACCTCACCAGCCTCTAGCTGCACATATTCCCCCACCTCACCATCTGTACATTAGCTGCACATATTCCCCCACCTCACCATCTGTACATTAGCTGCACATATTTGCCTACCTCACCATCTGTACATTAGCTGCACATATTCCCCCCTGCTTCCCATGCCTGTCATGAATCTCTTGGGTGTAGCTCCATTATGTGACAAGCAACTCAACAGTTGTCTCATTAATTGCCTGTAGGCTGCTGATTTCCCCAACTGGTCTTAGCTACATCTGTGTCACAGCCACTCAGGTAAACCACATCCTTCACCCTCTATTTAATGGACTGGCCCGTTTCATTTTCATTTAAGCCTTGATGTTCATTTTTTTTACTGCTACAGGCTGCTGTAAATTATAAGGACAATGACCACATCCCCCCGCCCCTTTTTGTAATCTGGTGAGAAGCTGTCATAAGGTTGGAAATCTCAAGGTTGTTGAGGCCCCTGATAAGTGTTGCTAATTTTTGTAGTAAATTCATAGAATACTGCACCGAAGGGCGTTTCTTATCTCAGAGACCACAGAGATTTGTGTCACAGTAGGCATGGTTCACATATGCTAGACTTACAACTCTGGTTTGCCAATGTCTGATTTGTAGACACGTAACAATTGAATAATGACACCGTGACAATTGCCTTAGCTTGTACATTGCTGACAATAAAAGAAAAGCATACATTTTATCATAAAGCATTCACTAATTGGATAATGACACAGTGACATTTGTTTTAGCTTGCACATTGCTAACAACAAAAGCAATGCATATCTTTTATCATAAATTCATAAAGCATCCACTCACTTATTAAACATAGACAATATTGTATAACCACCATATATTTTATCCCAAAGCATTCACTTGTTGATAGAGCATAGACCCTCATTTTTGTAAATTATTATGATATTTGCTTATCTTACAATGACCCACAGACTTGTGTATTGTAATGATATTAGCATATCTTACAATGACCCACAGACTTGTGTATTGTAATGATATTAGCACATCTTACAATGATCCACAGACTTGTGTATTGTAATGATATTAGCACATCTTACAATGACCCACAGACTTGTGTATTTTAATGATATTAGCACATCTTACAATGATCCACAGACTTGTGTATTGTAATGATATTAGCACATCTTACAATGACCCACAGACTTGTGTATTGTAATGATATTAGCATATCTTACAATGACCCAGAGATTTGTTTACTATTATGATATTAGCACATCTTACAGTAGTGCTAGACTGCTAACCCGATCGTTTCGAGTTTGAATCCGGGTTCAAGTTATTGGAACGTCCCTGAGTCCACCCAACTCTGGGTACTTAACTCACGATAGGGAAAGTAAAGGCGTCTGGGCATAAAGCTGACCGCAATATCCCTTTATATGCCGAGGTCAAGAAACATATAAACTCCACTTTGTCTGCCTAATGGATCGTTAGGTCTAAAAAGGAATCTTTACTTATCTTTACATCTTTCAGTGACCGATAGATTTGTTTACTATTATGATATCAGCACATCCTACAGTGATCCATAGATTTGTTTACTATTATGATTAGCACATCCTACAATGACCCACGGATTTGTTTACTATTGTGATATTAACACATCTCCCCCTGGCAACCTGGAGCAACTAACATATGGTTATGCAGATAAACCAGCATGTGTCTACCTGGCCAGAAGTCCATGTGGTTTATTTGTGTGGGCTTCTGTCTTGGTTTCAAAACATTGATCTGGCCATAATTTTATAAATATTTATTAAAAAATTACCAAAGAATTCAAAATTTATTTATCTGGAAAGAAAGTTTTTGTATTACACAGTAATGGTGATGCTGCATGGATATTGTTGCTACCCAAGTTTTCAAGTTTTCACATGTTACATTTTTGTTATCTGTGCTGATACTAAATTGTTTTCTAATTCATTTGCAAGTTTTACCATTTTTGTCATCTAAAATTTAATTTGCAAGACAATTTGTTTGCTTTCAGAACCTGAGATGAAAAATATAATTGATAAGCTGGCCAACTTTGTGGCCAGGAATGGCCCACAGTTTGAGGAAATGACCAAGCAGAAGCAAAAAGACAACCCAAAATTTTCCTTCCTATTTGGTGGAGAGTTCTACACGTATTATAAGTTTAAAGTAGCATCCGAAATAGCACGTAAGAAGAACCCGCTTCATCAGTTATTTTAAAATATTTTTTTTTTCAAAATTTGTAGTTAAATAAAAAAAAAATGTTAATCTTTTTCTTTGAGTTTACTTATGATTTAAATTTTTTTTTTTCATGATTTAAATGTATTTATTCAGAGATGAACCAGAGACAGCATTTAGAACAACAACAGCAACAACAACAGCAGCAGCAGCAACAGCAACTTCCTCCACAGCAACAAATGTTAAATCCTCCATTAGTACAGCCACAGTTACCAGGCAGGCAATGGCCACCTAATAACCAGGAGCAAATTGCACAGGTAATTTTTATTGGCTAGATCCAGTCACTCCAGGTAATTTTCATTGGCTAGATCCAGTCACTCCAGGTAATTTTCATTGCCTAGATCCAGTCACTCCAGGTAATTTTCATTGGCTAGATCCAGTCACTCCAGGTAATTTTCATTGGCTAGATCCAGTCACTCCAGGCAATTTTCATTGGCTAGATCCAGTCACTCCAGGCAATTTTCATTGGCTAGATCCAATCACATAGCAGTTTTCATTGGCTGTGGAGTTTTATTTTAAGTTAGATCTATTGTTGAAAAAAACCTTTGTTTCAGCTTGGTTGTCAAGTTCTTTCATGAAAAGATCCTCAATCAGATGTAGCCTCATGGCCAATTTTGTAGTAAATACTGGAGACGAAAACAGGACTTTCATGTTGTCTTTAGACTTAAGATGTTTTCCCTATGCTGTCCCCACATAATAAAATATCCCCCAGGTGTTGCTTGTTGTCCCCCAGGTGCAGGTCCAGATCTCCCAGCTCCAGGCCCACATCCAGGACCAGGTGACACAGAGTGAGAACAACCTGGCCGCCCAGTACCAGGTGCTCATGCAGCAGCAGCAGGTACGCTGTAGCTAGTACAATCAGACAATACCTTATGTTTCATATGGTTAATAGTTGCCATACACATTAGCCAGTACAGTCAGACAACACCTTATGTTTCATATGGTCAATAGCTGCCATACACATTAGCCTGTACAGTCAGACAATACCTTATGTTTCATATGGTCAATAGCTGCCATACACATTAGCCTGTACAGTCAGACAATACCTTATGTTTCATATGGTCAATAGCTGCCATACACATTAGCCTGTACAGTCAGACAACACCTTATGTTCTTGTCTGTTTCATATGGTCAATAGCTGCCATACAGTTTAGCCAGTCAGACAACACCTTATGTTCTTGTCTGTTTCATATGGTCAATAGCTGCCATACAGTTTAGCCAGTCAGACAACATCTAGGTTCTTGTCTAACTGCTGTTGTGTGACAACTTTTGTTGTCAAATAGTTTTATACATGTATATGAGTGCCATACAGTTCAGCCAGTCAGACAACTATTCTGTCCCTTATAGCTCAAGTCTAACAATTGTATGTGTTCTAATACCTGCTAGCCTCTTATATCTTCTTTGATTATATATTGTAGGAAGGAAGCTTAAATTTTACCAACCCAGTTCCATGTACATATTACCTACATTTAAAAAAAAACTTTAAAAAAAAAAAACCCACATCCTTCTTTGTGAAATTTAACCTTGCTATGTAAACTCACTTAAACTACTACCTTGTTTTTTTTGTTTTTTGTTTTAAATTTTTTTTTTAATTTGTTAATCAGCATGTTACATTTATTTGTTGTAAAACAGGTTGATAAATACAATCTAACCTCATTATTTGAGTTCTCATCTTTAATAAACAACCACACTTTCATTATAATTTTTGTGCCGTTTCTCCTAGAATCAAATTCAAGAGACTATAGTGAAGAACCTGGAGGATAAGCTGAGCAGCCTGATGACAGAGTGTGAGATCACCATGCTGGAGTGCAACGAAGTCGTCCAGCCAATCATTGAGTCATGCACCAAGGACGCTATTCTGGTTGGTATTGTCCATTTCATCCGTCATCACTAAGTCATACCTTATCACAGCAAAGTATCAAAGATGATATTCTGGTTTGTATTGCCCAGACTCATGTCAATAACTCATTTTTTATCACAACTAAGTACTGTATCAAAGATGCTATTCTGGTTTGTTTTGACCAATTCATCCATCACCAATAACTCATTCCTTATCAAAGTACTATATCAAAGATGCTATTCTGGTTTGTATTGATGACACCTATCTTATCCTTCATCAATAACTCTTTTTTTATCACAACAAAATCCTGTATCAAAGATGCTATTCTGGTTTGTATTGATGACACCTATCTTATCCTTCATCAATAACTTTTTTTATCACAACAAAATCCTGTATCAAAGATGCTATTCTGGTTTGTATTGATGACACCTATCTTATCCTTCATCAATAACTCTTTTTTTATCACAACAAAATCCTGTATCAAAGATGCTATTCTGGTTTGTATTGATGACACCCACCTTATCCTTCATCAATAACTCATTCCTTTTCAAAATCCTGTTTCAAAGATGCTATTCTGGTTTGTATTGATGACATCTATATCAGCCTTCATCAATATCTCATTCCTTATCACAACAAAGTCCTGTATCAAAGATGCTATTCTGGTTTGTATTGTCCAGTTCAGCCTTCATCAATAACTAATTCCTTATCATAACAAAGTATCAAAGATGCTATTCTGGTTTGTATTGATGACACCCATCTCAGCCTTCATCAATAACCTCATTGTTTTTTACCTCTTGTTTACAGTGCATCCATTTTGTGTCTCATTGGATGCACTGTTGTCTCTATTTTTAACGGATTAGCGGATGACAAAATAGGATGTATTTGTTTGATCAGGCTCCGGCCATATTACAGTCAACAGGCCATTGATGGCAAATTTAATCCCTGATTGTATCATCAGGTAACAGGAGAGTTACCTGCTCTTGTTTAGAGTTAACTTGACCTAGTGTTTGCTCAGTCAACTTGCCTCCCCTGGCTAAAGTAAATAATCCTTTGGTAGGTGTCCTGTTGACTTTTTAAAGGGAGAAAAAAAAAATCTTTCAACATTAGCTTTAAACCTAATGAGAGGCAGGTTTTTTTTACAAATCCATTATGTCAATGAATCCTCCCTTTTTTTTTCTCTCCCCTTTCCTCTTCTCTTCCCTTGACCTTCTCAACTTTAAATTAATGACTTTGCTGGTTTTTCTAGGGTTTTTTTTTTTTTTTTAATTCTTGACGTGTTTACGTCCTCTTGTTCTTATTTTTGTCAGCCATCAAAAAGAGATAAATTCCCAGTGTGTTTTTTTTTGAGTCAGCAGGAAGTCAGGCAAGCCATAGTCTAGCGTGGTTAAGACAACTCCTTTATCAAATGATGTTGTTAACTGAGCTGGGTTAGCTTCATCATGCATCTTTTTGTATCCCGTCCACTATTATAAAGAAACAATACACAGTCAGTCATCATTAATTAACTCTTTCATTTCTTAGCTGTTGTAATGTACTGTACAATAGAACATTCATAGGAACCATTACCTATCACACCACATACACAATTTGGTACTAACTAAATGGATTTTGACATAGTTTTGGTAGAGAAAATAGCTTGGAACATCATTATTGGGATCAGTTGCAAAGATTAATAAAGAAAAAAAAAAGTAGGATTGAATTACTTGGGTCAAGCAGAAATGTAACAAAAGATAAGAATAAAGAACAATAAAGGTAGTGTTATATGGCATTGCTTTATACCAGCCAGTTATAGAGTGAAAACATCTCACATTCTACCCCTATAAACATTTTATGTGTAACATACTTGTGTTTCAACCCAAGGTCTTTATCAGCACACAATAGTTTAGAGTTAAAGTACCTACAAAAATGAAAATGTTGAGAAAATTTTGACATATTTCATGTTGTCTTTGGTTGTAAGATGTTAACTCTTTGTTTTTTAACTGTAGAAACAACACACACCTAACACTGCTGAACTACAGAAACACCACACACCCAACACTACTGAACTACAGAAACAACACACACCCAACACTACTGAACTACAGAAACACCACACACCCAACACTGCTGAACTACAGAAACAACACACACCCAACACTACTGAACTACAGAAACAACACACACCCAACACTACTGAACTACAGAAACAACACACACCCAACACTACTGAACTGCAGAAACACCTACCCAACACTACTAAACTACAGAAACACCCACCCTCTATATAAACCAACTGTTTGAACCTGCTGTCTGTAATGTCTGTTGCATCTATTTCCAGGCGGGTAAAAACTGGATCATGCAGAGAACAAACTCTGAGAGATTCTGTGATGCCATTGCTCAGTATTTTTTGAAAAGGTTTGCTGATGTTTACTTCATATTGTGCTGTTGTAGGTTTATAAGTGCACATTGTGTTGTTGTATGTGTGTAAGTTCTGCACTATGTGTTTCTGAGTATGCATGCTCTGAAATGTATGTGAGTGAGAACAGTTCTTATATGTGACTGAATGCTGTTGTGTGGTGGCAGTTATGTGTGGGCAGTGGTTCTGTGTGGACTGTGGTTGTGTGTGTACAGTGGTTGTGTGTGGGCAGAGGTGGTTGGGCAGTTGTGTGCTGTTGTGATCATGAACTGTTACAGGATGTTTGTGGTAGTAGCCTCTCTATTTCCTGTAGCTGTGGCACTTAGTGTGTTTGATAGTGATCTGGTGGCTGATGCATCCTGCTAGGAGCTAACCACACAATGGTGTTTTATTATGTTCTCCTACAGAATAACAGCCAAAGAAGCTCCATTCCAACTACGTCTACACCTCATTTACCTGATCAACGATGTCATGCACCACTGGTGGGTTGAGATCTAGAACTTAATGAACGACTGGTTAAATATTGTTTTATGCTATGTAATAAAGCTTTAAACATTTTGCCTTGTGGTATATATGAAAAACATTAGACCCTTAAATATTAGATATTTGTATCAAGAATTTTAAAAATATGAAATTTAGTAGTTAAAACTAAAACCAACCATCATTTATTGTCAATATGGTATAAGATGTCTATTTGTCTTTGTCATGGGTCATTTTCTCTAGATGGTTTCTTATGTAACTTGTTTTGGTGTGTTGACCCTAATTCATAATTACCAGATATTTAGTTGATGGCATTGCTTCTACTGGCCATGAATTTAGTGCCTGTCTGGTGTTACTTGGTCTTTCTACCCAACTTGTGTATTATGAATACTTTAACTAATGTGAATAAAAGCTTTAACCCTATACGAGTCCAATTTTTCTCCTACAGTGTAAGGAGAAATGTTGAGAATCTCCGCAAGGCTCTAGAAACCGTTGTGGTTCCTGTGTTTTGTACATCATGTCTCAGCGCAGATGAAGATAAGATACAGAAATTAAATAAAGTAAGTGCTTGAATTCTCTTTAAGATAGTTCACCTATTTCTTGTGCTTTTATTTTTTCTTACTCAGCAGATTTCTGCTCATATTTTTAGCCCAGATATGGTGTGATTTAAATTTTTTATTTTTTTTTGCAGCTGTTAGATTTGTGGGAAAAGAACAAATACTTTGGCCCTGAAACACTTGAGGTACTTTCTCATTTCATTCCTTTTGATTTTGTGCTCAAATCTGTCAAAATGGATAAAATTAATTATACAAATAGCTATGCAGAGTTTAAGAGACATTGCATATAATAATTCTAATAGTTCATGTGTGCTTTAGTTTATCCTGCACAAAATTAATTGTAAAAATGTAAAATTGTTTTTTATCCTTGTATCACTCATAGAATGAATATTTTTAAAAATTTGAAAGCATGGAAAAGGTTTTCAACTAATGGGATAAGGGAAGTAACTCATGTAAATTGTAATGAATTGTTCCCTCTGAAGTTTCACCACTGAATTGCATGTCCTGTATGCCAACTATATTGCATCCAATAACATTTAATGGTAAAATTATGCAATATATGAGCTGGTCTTATTCAGTGCTTAACACTCCACGCTCCACAAAAATATAGTGTTTACATTTCACTTCTACAGAAAATGAAGGACCCGAGCCAAGCATTGTCAGGTTATCAGGTACATTCTAAGGCTTTTTCTAATGAATTTAATAACTAGAAGAAAATGTAATCCTTCATCAAAATTGTGATGCTGTTTATACTGGTGTAACACAGACTCTAACCCTTCTAATTTATTTTAATAATTTAAAGATGTGGTCCTTCTCTGGTCTCTAGATGCATTTATTTGAACTTAGGTGCTGGTTTTCTATCCCACAAAATATTTTTAGCACTGATACCTGTAGGAAAAAAATGACTTTATCACTACATTGCTTTGCCAAAGAAAATTTCTAAAAATGGCTAACATGAATTATTTACAACTCATACTGCACAAGCTAAATTCTAAACACTGAGTGGTTACATCTATTATCAATCATTATGTTGCCTCTGATATACCTTGCAATTGCTAAATTTGTAACCACTTTAGTAAGTAAAGTAGTAAAGTTCCCCTTCCAAACCTGACAGTCTATGGGGCAAGTGAAGTAGAGTTCACCTGTTTCTGTGACCTCTGCATATGAAGAGATAGTGTGGTCAGCACTATGCCCAGCCGCCTTTACTTTCCCTATGCGAATTAGGTTCCCATCAGAGTTGGGTGGACTCAGGGGCAATCTACTGACTTGAACCCAGATTTGAACTCGAGACTTATGGGTTAGCAGTCTAGCTCTCTACCCCTAGGCCCCTTATTCCCACGTTTTCTTTAACTTGCTTTCTCTGTCTTTCCAATCAAATCTTGTGATCGAAATTTCTGGCACTTCCTAGTTAGCTAGCGCGCTGAAATTTTCAGGGAAGCTTTCTTTTGGATGACCATAGAATATTCAATTGTTATTATTACTAAATTGATCAATGGAAACATTTTATTGAGCATTTTAGACCGCTATATAATCTATATATATAATTCTCCTCTGCGAGCCATTAGAAAACAAGCTGCAAGCGCCTCCTTACAGTCCCCACCCCCACATGGTCTGCTGAGCTGTGGTCACGTTAATGTTTACAAACCGTACAGCCAGGTTTAGTGACGGTTATTAGGGGCAGATAATTTAGTTTGAACCGACTTTAAACTTACAGGAGGTAACTAAGAGGATGCTGCTTTCACGGGGGGGGGGGGGGTTAGGGGAAAGGAGGGGGGTTAGTGTTTTAAAGCAAATATTTTCAGTGGCAGCATTGGTACTGTCGAATTCACAAATTATGAATTACTGAAAAGTAGAAAATAGCGGCGTATGATACGCCGCGGGTCGGCTCGTTGTAGTAAAAACGTGGGGAAAAAGGGACATAACACAGTAACTGTAATTTGTGTACAAACAACCGTAACAACTGGTGGCCAGTATGGGGGAGACGATATGGTCGAGTGGTTGGGCACACGATTGCTATCCCACTCGACACGGGTTCAAATCTATGTGTTCTAGTCAGTAACGTATTCACACAACGTGTTTTTTACGAGTTGTCTTTTTACGAGTTGTCTTTTTACAAGTTGTCTTCGTTTACCCATAAAAAAGTGAAAAGATAAAATCGATAGCAAGATTTCAATGCAAACAAACAGACAAAGACTAAAAAGTAGAAAATAATAATCATTAAAAAAGTTTTAAAAAACCCACGTTTTCTGATTGAACTAAAAAGTAGAAAATAAATACTATACATCACAATAATGCAAGCGATCACTCTACTATAAGCGATGAAAAACGTGGGGCGCCGTGATTTTCTTACAGTTTCTAATACTGTTGACTCTCTACAAGCTCCCTAATAAAAGTCAATAGTATTATCTAATCAATAGTAATATAACTTTTACTTCGGCGCCCCACGTTTTTCATCGCTTATAGTAGAGTGATCGCTTGCATTATTGTGATGTATAGTATTTATTTTCTACTTTTTAGTTCAATCAGAAAACGTGGGTTTTTTAAAACTTTTTTAATGATTATTATTTTATTGATTAAATCTATTGTAAATGTTGCTACCAGCCTTTGGTAAACCTTGCAACTGTTTGACGTGTGTCCCCCCCCCCCCCCCCACCCACCCTACAGGCCAACCTGATCACAGAGAACGCCCAGGCAGTGACGGCCATCACCCAGGCCATACAGCAGCAGTACAACTCCCTAGAGAAGCAGCACCAGGATTTTGTCTCCCACCTCAACATCCAGCTGGCTACAGCCCAGCAGCAGCTGCAGGTGCTCCTGGCACAGGCCAACAGTAAGTGTTACGTCACATTGTGGGGGTGATGTGGGGGGGGGGGGTCTTTTCATTAGTGTCAGGAATAAATCCTTCTGGCACAGGCCAACAGTAAGTTTTTATAGCACATTGGGGGGGAGATGTTGTGATGTGGGGGGGGGGGGGGGGGTCTTTTCATTAGTGTCAGGAATAAATCCTTCTGGCACAGGCCAACAGTAAGTTTTTATAGCACATTGGGGGGGGAGATGTTGTGATGTGGGGGGGGGGGGGGTCTTTTCATTAGTGTCAGGAATAAATCCTTCTGGCACAGGCCAACAGTAAGTTTTACGTCACATTGTGGGGGTGATGTTGTGATGTGGGGGGGGGGGGGGGTCTTTTCATTAGTGTCAGGAATAAATCCTTCTGGCACAGGCCAACAGTAAGTTTTATAGCACATTGTGGGGGTGATGTTGGGGGGGGGGGGGTCTTTTCATTAGTGTCAGGAATAAATCCTTCTGGCACAGGCCAACAGTAAGTTTTATAGCACATTGTGGGGGTGATGTTGGGGGGGGGGGTCTTTTCATTAGTGTCAGGAATAAATCCTTCTGGCACAGGCCAACAGTAAGTTTTATGGCACATTGGGGGGGGGGGTGATGTTGGGGGGTGGGGGGGGGGTCTTTTCATTAGTGTCAGGAATAAATCCTTCTGGCACAGGCCAACAGTAAGTTTTTATAGCACATTGGGGGGGGGGGGGGTGTGTGGGGGGGGGGGGGGGTGGTGTTGTGGGGGGGGGGAGGGGGAGTTTCCTTAGTGAGAAATTAGTACAAATCCTTCTGGCACAGGCCAACAGTAAGTTTTACGTCACATTGTGGGGATGATGTGGGGGGAGGGGTCTTTCTTTAGTGAGAAATTAGTACAAATCCTTCTGGCACAGGCCAACAGTAAGTTTTGTGTCACGTTGTGAGGGTGGGTAGGGGGGAAGCAGTGTTTCTTCCAGACTTTTTTCTCCGGGGGGGGGGGGGGGGGTGGTGGTGGTGGTTAATTCTTTATTCAGTAATAGGGGTCCTTCTCAGACTAACAGTAATAGTTTTACATTTTGCCAAGTGGGGGTCCTTTATCTTCACTGACAGGTTTAAATCCTTGGCTTCTCTTAGTGTTTGCTTATTCCTATAAAATAATTTTTTTGCCATTGTTTAAAGTCCTAAAGTCCTGATAAAAATTGCATCAACCAAACATTCAAGTCACATTTGTTAATGTCTCTTGTTCCAGGTGGGCCACCTCCCACTGAGGCACCTCTGCCCACACTGCCAGGACCTCCCATACCAGGCCAGATCCCAGGTCTCCTCAGCTTCCCTCCCCCCAACAACCTGCCAGTCACAAGTGTTGATCCAGTAAGTTCTGACATCTTTTTTCTACTCTTATTTTCCCTTGTTAGACAATGTTAACTTTAAGTTTAGTGGATTCACAAAATGTTGCTGTATTTTGTCCTGCTATAAAAATACCTGATAGTAAACAAAAACATTTTTTTAATTTATAGTAACTCTAGGCCAACACTTAATTTAAATATTGTTTGTAATCAGTAATGAAACAATTTTCTCATTAACTCCACATTTTTTCACTCATTAAGACCAAATGTATTTACACATTTTTCTGAATACCACAACATGCAGCAAATTAAGCAACATGTTTCTCCTAGTATAGCAACATGGATTGTGGTTTAACTTAAGTTCTGAATTAAATTTGACAATATTATGGGTCATGCTTATATGGCTGTGCTTTATTAGCTGTTAAGTTAATAAGTTGTCTAACTAAGCATAAAATTGTACTAAACCTCAAAGTTAAATTGATTGAAAACATTTTAGGTGAGTAACCAAATTTTAGTGGAATGATTACCCATAGTTTGAGAACCTTGCATTTGTTTTGACTAGGTCAGTCTTGAGAACTAGTGTGCTTAGTAGCCATATGCTAAAATTTTACAGAAGTGTATGTCTTAAAAAAAAAATTAATGTTAACTTGTGTTGTATAGATGCAAGGGTACAATCAAAATGGAGGCTCATCAAATCTTGGTGGAGGGATGTACAACAGTTTACATCACCAACAGCCACAGCAGTTTGAGTACAACCATGGCTCCAACATGGGTTTGTTCATTTTTTAAAATTTCACACTACAAGCCCTCCATGTTTGGCTGGGTACTTAGCAGTCTAAAACTAAATTTAATTGAATACTGACTTTGTGATTTAAAATCCCATTCCATCTGGGGAGTTTCAAAATCTATGAAGAACTGAAGTGTTTAAAAAAAAACCTTAGGTAAAACTTTAAGTTGAAGACTTTAGGTTGAAACATTTAACTTATTAGTTTTCATTAATATTTGTGTTGGTTGCATTATGTTTATATTCTGAATCTCAGTGCAGTTATAATTTCTCTGAATGGTAAAAATGTTGGCCATGTTATTAACATAATGGGACTAGAATTTGGGCTATATAGGGGAGACAAACAACTTATTTGGACATGGACATGGAAATGTTTAACCTCACAGTTCTTCATATCACATATTGCTTATTTAACAAGCTGAGGTGGGCAGAGGATTCATTCATTTCTCTAAGTCATTTAAACAATGCCTCACATTTTTTGTTGTTGCACTGTTATGTTGCTTTTATCACTATTTTAAAATATTTGATTTATAGATAAAAAAATCATTTGGTGGAAAGATTTGTTTTTTTTATTTAATTTTAGCTTTTACTTGATTTGAATTTTTTTATCCTGTATTTCCTGGTCAGATTTTAATGTAACCATTTGAACCATGATATTTCTAATTGTAACCCCAGTATCACTGTGGTTTCCACTGATCCCCAGTGTTACAGTGGCCCTCCCCCCTACTCTCCAATGTTACTGTGGTCCCATACTCACCAGTGTTACAGTGGCCCTCCCCCCCCCCCTACTCCCCAATGTTACTGTGTCCCCGCCCCCACTATTCCCCAGTGTTACTGCCCCCCCCCTACTATTCCCCACTGTTACTGTGGCCCCCCACTATTCCCCACTGTTACTGTGCCCCCCCCCACTATTCCCCAGTGTTACTGTTGCCCCCCCCCACTATTCCCCAGTGTTACTGTGCCCCCCCCCACTATTCCCCAGTGTTACTGTGCCCCCCCTACTATTCCCCAGTGTTACTGTGGCCCCCCCACTATTCCCCAGTGTTACTATGCCCCCCCCCCATCTCCCCACTGTTGCTGTCATCCCCTACTCCCCACTGTTACTGTGGTCCCCTACTCCCCACTGCTACTGTAGTCCCCTAACCACCAGTATTTGGTTTCATTTCTAGCACTTCTACCACCAGATCTACAGGGTCCACCTGGTGGGGGCCTCATGCCATTGCCTGATTTCAGCAAACCTCCGCCTGGCTTCCCACCACTTGGCCCTCCCCACCCAGGAATAGCACCACTGATTCCACCCTCAGACCTAGACCTGACCCCGTCAGTGCCGTACTACGAGTTACCTGCTGGTTTGATTGCACCTCTAGTGAGGGTGAGTTACACTTTGTATTTGTTTCATTATTTTAAACACTTTGCTCTTGTTTTGCAAAGTTTATTTTTACTTTTATGTTATTCTGACTTGATTTTTAGTATAAAATTTTTAAACAGTTTGCCCCTATTTAAGCATTATTCCCTTTAAAGGAAAATTGCTAAGGAAGCAAGGCTCTCTCTTCTAGAATATGATTATCGCCTATTTGTTTTCCCCAGCTTGAAGAGTTTGAGTACAAGCCACTGGACCCTGAACATATACGCTTACCTCCCCCTATGCCACCTAGTGAGAGATTGTTAGCAGCTGTTGAAGCTTTCTATCAGCTTCCTTCTAGAGAGAGACCAAGGGATGGGTAAGTTTTTTATTTAGTCAATATTTCTATTTCTTCTGCGAGCATTTCTACTTTTTTCTCAAAATATTTTACTTTCTATGTGGTAATTAATTGAATATGAATTTATTTTAGGGATGGTAATTTGTTATGTATTTATTTAGGGATGGTAATTGGTTATGTATTTATTTTAGGGACGGATGGGAAAAGCTGGGACTCTATGAGTTCTTTAGAGCCAAACAGCGAGCCCGGAGGATGAAAGAGGAAGGCAGAGATTCAAGGTCTCGCTCCATTTCACCAAATGACCCCAACTTCAGTCCACCTAGACGTAGGTTTAACAGTGAAGAGAAAAGGCAGGTTTTGGTTCTTCTGTGTGTCCAGGCTCATCTGGTTTATTTTCACTGTCATGCAAGATTCATTCATGGTTTAAAAAAAAAAATTAAACTAGATGTGTAAGATAGGTTAACATTTTAGTTTGGAAAATTTTGACAAAAAAGCTACATAATTTTATTAATGGTAACCTCAACAGATCTCTTTCAAGATCCCCATCTCGATCACGCTCAAGTTCCAGGTCAAGATCCCCCAGTCCAAGAAGGCGCCAGCAAAGGTCGAGGTCCAGGTCTCCAGTGCCGTACATGCGTTCCAACAACTCACACTCTCCCTCTCCATTAATTCAGCCACGCAGACGATCCCTGTCACATGGTAGAAGCCCCACCCCTCCAGGATTTATGTTAGTTAATTTTTTAAGTACCTCTAAACTATGTAAAACTTTTTTTATGTGATTTTTTAAAGAAAATTGTTGAATTTAATATTTAATTAGAGCAATTTTCTTTTATAAAACCATGATTTCAAGTTTTTGTCGATTTTTATCATGATAAAGATATATTAAGATTATATACTGTATTAAAGAAAAAGTCTCAATTGCCTAGATGATTCAAATTTTTACTAACACAGAAATTCTGTGTTTGATATGTTTGCAGTCTTGTGACCTAACAGCTATTTCATTTTTATAAATTTCAGGCCAAATTTTTCCCAGCCTCCTCTACTAGAGTCAAGAATTGGAGAAGAAAATAAAGGCCATCAGCTATTGAGGAAAATGGGTATATATATTTTTTCCCCATTTATTTTGTTGTGTATCTTCACTCCAAGGGACATTGATTTTATATAAATAATTTTGGTTTTGCCTGTTTAAAATTTGTAATGAGTCAACGTATTTTAGGTTGGGGTGGTCGAGGACTAGGTGCAGGAGAACAGGGAATAGTGGACCCAGTGGAGGCCGCGGAGGTGAGGGACAGAACTGACATGCATAAAGGGATCGGCATTGACCTGAGAGACCCTTTTGAGCAGTTCAGGAAAAACAAGAGCCAAGGTTTTATACAGAGGATGAAGACGAGAGATGAGGAGAAACGTAAGTTAGGTTTCTTTTTTAGTTTTGAAACTGCTGCATAAATGTATGCCTCGTTTTTTTAAAGATATTGTTGTGGTCAGATCTTGTAATTCAGTTTTGACCAATATCTAGATAAATATATTTTCAATGAAAATGCAAGTATATAGCATTTTTGTTCTAATTTGATATGAAGTCAATAAAAATTGATTTAAGATTACTAAATACTATAAAGGGGAGACTACAAGATTGAGTAGTGATAACCCCCATCGGTCTGGTGTTCAGGAGCAGCGTTAACAAATCTTTTTACTAAAAGGCAGATAATTAAAGTATTTGTGTGGAATGTTTTTTAAAGGGAGTATTAGCCACATATAGTCATTTAGGTGCAAGTAATTTTTTTGTTGTAAGGGTATCAAAATAAGATCTAGCTTAGAAATGAAAAATGAAGTGCTAATTGTTTTCAATACTTTCGACTCTCTCTTAAAAAGTTAAAGTATAAAAACCTAATAACAAGCTTTTTTTTTTTAAAGGCCTTACAATAAGAAAATTCCTTGTTTTTTTCTACATTAGTAAAAAAAAACCATTAAATTTAAGCATTTTATTTTTACTATTATAGCTAAAGAAAATGTGTAAGTTATTGTTATATTTTAAGTTAACAGGAATCCTTTAAAAAAATTTTTTTAAATTTTCAGCCAAAAAGAGATCAAGATTCAATGATTAGTGACTACATACAGACAGTTGGGGGTGGCTGTTTGTAGTGGATAATGAAACTGAAGCTTCATTTTCATTCTTGACGTATTATTTTAACATGTTTTATTCACATGGCCATTTATAGTTTCTGATTAAATGAATGTCTTATACCAGACTTTTTTCTGATAGTTTAATATCTAATACAGGAGACCTTTTCCAGACGAGTAGGAGTCTGACGTTGCAAAATTATCTAGTTGAGTGAATGACATCAGACTTGTCTAGATGAGTGAATGACACCTGGAGACTTTTTCAAGCTCATTGGAAGTCTGACATTACAAATTTATCTAGTTGAGTGAATGACATCAGACTTGTCTAGATGAGTGAATGACACCTGGAGACTTTTTCAAGCTCATTGGAAGTCTGACATATACAAATGTATCTAGTTGAGTGAGTGACATCACAGATGTGTTTAAGAAATGTCTGATTGTTGACACTAAAAATTTTGATTGTGTAAATGAATGAATGTTTGAAATTTCACATGATAAAGAAGGGATTTTGAAAAATAATGTACAGTAATAGTACGTGCCGTATGAAGTTAAAACATTTGACAATATAACGTGAGAAAATTGCTGAAATAAATATTTAATGTGGGAAATTTACAAAAAAAATAAAACCACCAACACTTAAAACATTATGCTGGCCATTATAAACAATATTCATTACATGCAAGTTAAAATACAAAACCATTTGTACTTAAGTTGAATTCAAATTTCTTAATTAACAATATTTCAAATTAACAAATCCTTTTGTTGTAAGTGAAACATGGGATGATTCAAGTCGTGCATTACTTGAGACAAAATATTCACAGGTATATGGAACTTTGTTGCACTGATTCTCACATGTATATGGAACTTGTTGCATTAATTGAGACTAGTTGCATCGCTTGCGAGGCAGAAATTTTATGTATTTACACTGTATGTTTTTGCTTTGCAGTCTCAGTTTAAAAAAAAAAACTTGACCTGATTGCTAAAATGTAAAAAAAAAAACAGACTTAATTTTTAGCTGCCACTAGGAAAATTCTGAATGGCTGGAAATAGTTTTTACCATAGCATTTAGACATTTGAATATAAATGAAAAAAAGACATGCTTCATTGGGACACTTTTCAACCACTACTTTGTATACAAAATTTGCAGAACAGGTGTCTTAAAGTATATTTTATTAAACACTTTAAAAAGTAGCATGAAAATTACTTCTGTGGTTAATTATTTTATAAAAACTAGTAAAGTTATAATTATGCAGGATTGTCACATTAAAAAGTTTCACACTGTTAAATTGTCAAAGAGCAAATAAAATCACTCAATAATTCACACAAGCTAAAAATTACTTAATTTAAAAAACAGTTTTTAAATTAAGCTCACTGTAAAAATTAACATAGATTTTTAAAAATCATTTAGATATGTGGGTGTTACATAAAATAGTTTAAAAACACAATCACAGGATAAATTAAAGGGTTGACCGTATTAAAAAAATTAAATGAAGCTCATAACATTTATACTTAACAACCCATTGAAAACAAGCTCATTGTAAAAAATACATTTTTAAAACACAATCACAGGATAAATTAAAAAGTTAACCAGATTAAAATACTGAAATCAAGCTAATACAAATATGACATGGCAAACCGGAAAAATAGAACACACAGAAATAAAGTGGATTTTATAAGATATTTAGGAGTAAAAACAAAAAAAAACACCTAGATTTTATGAATACTGTATGTGTTGGTCACAAATAACTACATGAATGGTGAGCAGAATTCAAAACTCATAAAAAAATATAACGTTGAATCAAACCTGAATATCACAGCAAGATAAATGTAAAAATAACTGTCAATAATCTTTGTATAAAACCAGGAATGGAAACAGGTGATGCTAAAAATGTAGTAAAATAAATAGCATTACTTTTCAAAAATAAAATATAAGCTGTTAGATTTAGCATATAATGTGCTTCACCTCTAAATATCTAGCAATGACAGTAAAACAATCATTTTAGCTTTAACATTCACATTTTTTAGTTCAAAATGTAGTTGTAAGTTTTAAAATTATCTTTTAACAGTGAATCTACAACATATATCTAACAATAGTGGTGGAATTAGCTTTGTATAAACAACAACAATTACTTGAATAAAGATTGTTTTTTTTTTCATTGGCAAGAACTCAACATTACCCATCATCTTTGAAAAACAAGAAAATTTGTTTCATATAAAAAATTAAGTGATATTTTTAAGTCAACTTAAGATTAATAAAATCCCATCTAAATAAAGTGTTCTGAAATAAATCAGACATTAATGATTTAATCATTTGGATTAGCATATTAATTTATCATAATGAATTATTTTAATCATAGCTAAACAGGGTCAACAAGATATATTATGCTACTCATTATTGCAAAAATATTATGATATAAAAAGAAATATGACTTGATGAAATAAATACTGTGAGTTAAATAAAAAAAATATTACAATGCAATAAGAACATCTTATGGTAAAAGGAACAAATTAGCTGAACCCCATTCACAACCATCCAAGCTGAATATATTACAATGAACAACTGCATGCCTGTAGGTAACATTGTAGGAGCAAGTCTCTCTCTGTCATAGATGTGATGTCATAGATGTGATGTCACAGTTTCAGGGGCGTCCACAGGTGGATTCTCTGCTTGTCTCACTTCACCTGCACATACAATTTGTAATGGTTCACTAATGGTCATAGCAGTGAGACTGTAACGGTTCACTAATGGACAAAACAGTGAGACTTTTTTGTAATGGTTCACTAATGGACACAACAGTGAGACTTTTTTGTAATGGTTCACTAATGGACACAACAGTGAGACTGTAACAGTTCACTAATGGACAAAACGGTGAGACTTTTTTGTAATGGTTCACTAATGGACACAACAGTGAGACTGTAACGGTTCACTAATGGACAAAACAGTGAGACTTTTTTCTAATGGTTCACTAATGGACACAACAGTGAGACTTTTTTGTAATGGTTCACTAATGGACAAAACAGTGAGACAGTAATGGTTCACTAATGGACACAACAGTGAGACTTTTTTGTAATGGTTCACTAATGGACACAACTGTGAGATTGTTTTGTAATGGTTCACTATTGGACAAAACAGTGAGATTTTTTTGTAATGGTTCACTTCTTCTTCTTCTTCTTCGTTCTTAATTTTTTTAGTGTTGGAAGGGATCGAGATTTATCTGCCAGTGGGTTTGAACTCGAGACTTTTTCGAATTTATCAACCATGAGCTTTTTGCCGACTCGACCACGCCTCCAACACAATTAAGGATACGTGTCAACTGGTTATGCGCCATTGAGGCCATTGACTCCGATTTCAGCCTGCTTTTCTTTTTGGATTTGCTTCCATAGCCTTTGTCCAACCAAGAACAAGCTACAAGGCAGCAGTTGTTTGATTTTGGAGTTGTCTCTCCTAGAAGAGTGGCTGTCCCCAGCTAATGAGCCTCATCTGCCCGAGAATGGTTCACTAATAAACACAACAGTGAGACTGATTTGTGATGGTTCACTAATGGACACACTTCACTAGAGATTGAAACATTGTCTGCCTCCATTGTTTTATAATGATTTAAACACTGATGTAAAGTCAAGATATTTTTTAAGTGATTATAAAATAATAACATAAAATGTGCATTCTACTGGTAATTTTAGACAAGCAGAAACTATTGCTTTGATCATAATCAGTTAAACTGAACGAAAATATATATCTAAAATCATTTGGAAAAACTGTACATCTAAATAAAACTAGTAGTAAAAATTAAACAACAAAGGGCTCCACAGGTCAAGCAGGTTTTTATAGATGATATAACAGATTAGGAGTTAGGGGAGGTAACTATCTGTAAAATGGTTAGGGGTGAAGGGCTAGCTTACAAGTGGAGGACAATTAAATATGAATGAAAGCAAAGATAAAAAAAATGGCGGTTGTTCAACCTTTAAAATATAAATATATTAAAAGCAAACAAACTCAAGCCACCTTGAAGTACAAGCACTGTGATTAAAAAAAAACACAAGCTACGTAATTATTAGAAGAGCCGTATGCTATAAATCAAAGATAAACACAAGCTTAGAAATTTTTAAAAAGTAGCTTCACAAGTGGGGACAAGAGAGTAGTTTCCCCTTCACAAATCAACACACAAGATGATTACAAGTTTAAAGAGGGATGGAGCTAGATGGGCCTGCTTTTGATAAATGCATCTCTCATCATTCACTGAAGCAGCTCTAGATGCTGAAGGAAACAGTTATGTTTGCAAGCCACTATTTTATTTTATCTTTAATCAAAGTATCTGTTGTCATGTTCACGTGGAAAAATGCTAAATTTGTACTCGTTTTTTAAAACTATGGTAAAAAAAAAATTTCAAGTAAACTTTGCAGTTAACTAAGTTGTAGAAAAGCCTGTGGTGCAATGAGATGTAAAAAAAAAAACAATTAGAATGTTTAAAAAATTATGATATAAGTAATTATAAATAAAAATATAAGCTTATGGCCAGGAAAAAAATTTAGAAGATCAGATTAAAATAGACTTAAGTAATGTTTGCTTTCTATTTTATAATCATATTATAATTTTGGGCTCACATGTGTACACTATATAGATTGTTTAATTTTGTACAGAAATGCTTTTCATTATTTAGGGGTGGGTGGTGGCCAGTCTTTTCTGATTTGAATTACTTTCCATAAACTTTCTTAAAAATAAAAATAAGGAAAAAAACCCAGTTTATTTTCATTATAACTAAGGTCATAAGGGTAAAAATCATTTAAACTCCGTTTGTTAAGGACAAACTCTACTCACTAGGATATATTAACCCCCCCCCCCCCCCCCCCCCCCCACCATTCATCTACCCATATTAGCTACTTGAAAAGTTTCACAACACAAGCTAATGTCTTGGAACTTTATTTGCAACACGTTCTCTCTAAAAAGGTATTGAAAGCTTTAAAGTAGCAGGTTGGACGTGTAACTTTATATTAGATGGATTTGTTTCTTAAGGGTAGCAGTATGTCTACAAGATCTGTAAAACTTTATTTAATACAGGTTGTGTGCGTAAAGCTTTAGGGTAGCAGTATATCTACAGCTCCTGTGGAAAATTATTTGAATGATATGGACTGTGTATGTTAATCTTTAGGGCACAAGCAAAACACAGGATTTATAGCTACAGCCAAGCATAATTTAAAAAAAAAACAACACTAGCTTAACAAAGCTTAAGACAAAACAAGTTCAGTTGATTGTTTGTGGTCAAAATTTCTACTCTTCTAAACAAGAGTAGCAAGATATGGCTAATAAAATACTTAAAAAAAACTTTTTAAAAAACCACGTTTTTCTTGTGGACTAAAAAGTAGAAAATAACTATTTACATACATTTGATGACAAAAAACGTGGGTACGTTCACCATCAAATTTCCCGACCCATCTGCCCGACCCACGTTTTTTGTTATCAAATGTATGTAAATAGTTATTTTCTACTTTTTAGCCCACAAGAAAAACGTGGTTTTTTAAAAAGTTTTTTTTAAGTATTTTATTTTCTCCTTTTTAGTCCGTTGCTACACATGAAAAACGTGGTTTTTAAAAAAGTTTTTTATATAGTTTATTTTCTACTTTATCTAATGACTTGATTAAGTATGAATTGACAAAGTGTTTATAAATACACGGACTAAAAAAATCTTGAGCGACCAGGATTCGAACCTGGGTTGTCGCGGCCACAACGCGAAGTACTAACCACTATACGATCACGGCCAGCGCGCTCACATCGATTGGGGCCGAAGTAACTGTGTCAATAAGCCTCCAGTCTTGTCGGTATCTTTAGAAATCATGTCCTCAATTTTATGGTCCTTTGGGCGTAATTAAATTAAGCTAACTACGGTCTCTAATTGCTAGTTTTTATGATTGCATCTGAAATTGTTAGGCGAAAGTAGCCTGCATGCCAAATTTCAGAACTATAGAACAATCAGAAGTGGGCTAATTTTCGATGTCAATTTTAACAACAAACACACAAACGCGAAGCTGAGTTAATAAAAACGTGTTAATAAAAAATAGAAGTACACTTGTAAGATTTCTAAAGGTAATGGATTTTAAGGGGATTTTATGTGTGTGATTGAAACAGCCTGCCTCCCATTTAAAGGCGATTTTATGTGTGTGATTGAAACAGCCTCCTTTTTATCCTGGGTGCAATTATGGCATGACGCCTGAATGTGTTGCTGACAATTCTATTCTTATCAACACTGGACTGCAAATATTCAGGCATAAACAGGAGGTGCCACATAAACATTTCTGTGAGTAAGTATCAGTGCTATGACTTTAGTATAAGTAAGTGCTATAAATAAAGTATAAGTAAGTGCTATGAGTAAAGTATAAGTAAGTGCTATGAGTAAAGTATAAGTAAGTGCTATGAGTAAAGTATAAGTAAGTGCTATGAGTAAAGTATAAGTAAGTGCTATAAGTAAAGTATAAGTAAGTGCTATGAGTAAAGTATAAGTAAGTGCTATGAGTAAAGTATAAGTAAGTGCTATGAGTAAAGTATAAGTAAGTGCTATGAGTAAAGTATAAGTAAGTGCTATGAGTAAAGTATAAGTAAGTGCTATGAGTAAAGTATAAGTAAGTGCTATGAGTAAAGTATAAGTAAGTGCTATGAGTAAAGTATAAGTAAGTGCTATGAGTAAAGTATAAGTAAGTGCTATGAGTAAAGTATAAGTAAGTGCTATGAGTAAAGTATAAGTAAGTACTCTATCCTTATATGTGTAACAACTTCATGGGAGAGCAAGCCTAAGGGACCCTGGGATGACCTAGAATCAACTGAACATGGTCTGCCATGCACATATCACAGACTACAGAGCCAAACTAGAGAACAGCTCAGAACATACTCAACTCTGTTGTATCCTTTGTTTCATAATAGGCTTTAGATTAAAACAAATATTACATTATTAACATCTTTCATTTTAAATTATTGAAGTAGACACTAAAACTTGTTAAGAAATGCTTCCTGAGAATACATTTTTAACTACATTTGTAAAACAGGTTTTAAATATGCTACGTAAAAAAAAACATGCTGCGTAAAAAAAAATTTAAAAAATACACTTAAATTCAAAATGTAATTGAAAACAAAAATATTCTCTGGACCTACTTTTTAAATAATTATATTAATAAAAAGTTTCACTGGCTAAACTTTTGAAAATAATCATCACTCCATCTATCCTTTGAATTATGACACTTCAAAAATTAATTACAACTTTCCTCTCAGATCATAACATAAATATTATTCCCATTTTATATGCAGATGTTAAAACCTATCTTATACTTCAACATATTCTACAAAACAAAACATTTAACTTTAATCTTAACCATTTGTGTGGTGAATAAAAAAAGCATATCTTCAACATTGTAATTCAAAATGTATATTTCATCATCAACTTCAACACTAATAAAAAATCAGGTAACACTTAACTAGAATTTAGACCAGGGATAAGGAACTTACGTAGATATCTTGGCTGTCTAGGTGGCACCAGAAAACATATGCACAATGCTATAGCAATGTGCCAACAACTGTGGACATAGTGATAATTCTCAACTGTTTCTAATATTATAAAAATGGCTCCTCCGGTCAATGCCAGGGCGGTGCCTGGAAGAAGATAGAACACATATCGTCGCCAGGATGGGTAAAGTGTTCGTCTTTTATACATTTTATGGCCCTGTGTTGGATGAAAAATGTGGATTTTAAAAAGTTGAATATCACTTTTTTGGATTTCAAACATTTAAAACCTGGCGCATTAGTATAAATATTATTAAAAAAATTTGGGAAGAAACATAGTTGTTAATGAGTCTTGTGATTTTGTATATTTTTTTTACTACATGTTTAAATTAACACGCTTTTTATGTACGTGCAGAATAAAAACTAAAATTAAGCGTTACTCTTACAATTAAAATATATTATAAAACATCTGTATTAACAAGAATTTTTAAAAGGCATGGTTTGCTATATAAGTATTGTTTACTCTAACTATAATCTTATGAGCTACAAGCATTTTACTTTATACTTATAAATAGTGGTGCATTGTTATATATATATATATATATTAAGAAAATCTATTTATTTATAGTGCATACAGATAAAAGCTATTTAATATAAACTTGTTTTAAATTATTAAAGAAAATAATGTTTAGTTAGTATTAACAGAATCAAATTGGAACACCAATGTCACCATTATTACCAGACACTTACCAAATACACCATTATAACCCAACACAGAAGACATACCAGACACTTACCCAAGACACCATTATCACCAAGACACCAAACACCACCGGAATAAGAAAGGTGCAAGCGTTGGTCACGTCATACACCACACCTATGAGGATAAACATAGGCAAGACAACCTGTAGGGTGCGGGTTATCCACATATACCTGAAAAAAAAACGTCTTTAAAACACTAATACAGAAAGAAATAACCAGTCAATTTAATTGGTGTACTGGATGATGCAATGTGTTTGTTAATACACTGAACATGGCTTAAAGATTGTCCAAGTGTGTTATAATGATAATTTCCATGACACAGATTTTCAGATGATAATGAAAATACACAGACTTAGTAATGATGTAGATGTTACATCTACTACACCCCATCCCATTGGCAACTATTACAGCTAATGTTGGCCACACTCATCTAATGTTGACTATTCTATATGATGTAAGCCATGACATCTGATGTTGGTCATGACATCTGATGTTGGCCATGACATGCAATGTTAACTATTACATCTGATGTTGGCCATATCTGATGTTTGCCATGACATCTGATGTTAATAACTGATCACTAAAAACTAAATAAAAACTAATAGTAATATTTACAAATATCTCCATACAGAAAACTACATTATTTCTATCGCTAAGTACATAGACACAATATGTTTTTGTTGAATTTGTGTACTTGGAAGTCAGGTTTTAAACAACCTTTATACTAAGTGTGAAAAATATTTAGTTATGTTTTCTTAAAACATTCTACTTTCAACATTTAATGTCAAATATTAATAACTAATTCAGCTAATATTAACCATGACATTTGATGTTGGCCGCGACACCAGATCTTGGCCCCAACTCAAACGATGCTGGCCATCACTCACCGTATATTGGCCATGACTAGCATCGTGTAAACTATAGAGCAGACGGAGCCGAAGAAATCACAGATTTGAAGGACGTTAAAGTGGGCAATACACAGGCGATAAATTTCAAGTCGGTCACCATCACAAGCATGATAAAACTGTTAAAAAAACATTGCAATATAAATTTTTTTTATAAACTTACATTTAATTGGCTATCTTGTACTAAATTTTATTTTATGTTAGATCTAGATTTAGTTCATCTACAACAAAAAATCAGGCCCAAAATGTGGGTGTATCAACAAAATGCCCAAAAATGTAAGTGCAAAAATTTTTTTTTTCTACTCTCATCAAATACGTTTGTATTATAAATCATATTAAAATTATTTATAAACGAAGAAAGGAATTAAAGACTTACAGTAGAAAAAAACATTGTGTATGTGTAAACAAAAGCCTCGACCAGAAATCTGCGCTTGATAGAGATGATTATAGCTGGCAGAAAAGCTAAGTTGGATACGGTGAGCAAATAAGCAGCTGCCAACTGGGTGCCAACAGAATCTGATTTACTATCATCAGTACAAGCATAGCCCCTGTATCCTATGAGTAGATAAGCAACATTATACAAGCATAGCCCCTGTATCCAAACAATTAGATAAGCAACATTATACAAGCATAGCCCCTGTATCCAAACAATTAGATAAGCAACATTATACATGCATAGCCCCTGTATCCAAACAATTAGATAAGCAACATTATACATGCATAGCCCCTGTATCCAAAAATTAGATAAGCAACATTATACATTATCCCATCATAGACATACTGACCACACCATCCCTCCCATCAGAGTGACCACACCATCCCTCCCATCATAGTGACCACACTATCCCTCCCATCATAGTGACCACACCATCCCTCCCATCAGAGACATACTGACCACACCATCCCTCCCATCATACTGACCACACCATCCCTCCCATCATAGTGACCACACCATCCATCCCATCAGAGACATACTGACCACACTATCCCTCCCATCATACTGACCACACCATCCCTACCATCAAAGTGACCACACCATCCCTCCCATCATACTGACCACACCATCCCTACCATCATAGTGACCACACCATCCCTACCATCATAGTGACCACACCATCCCTACCATCATAGTGACCACACCATCCCTCCCATCATAGTGACCACACCATCCCTCCCATCAGAGTGACCACACCATCCCTCCCATCATAGTGACCACACCATCCCTACCATCATAGTGACCACACCATCCCTCCCATCATATTGACCACACCATCCCTCCCATCATACTGACCACACCATCCCTCCCATCATAGTGACCACACCATCCCTCCCATCATAGTGACCACACCATCCCTCCCATCATAGTGACCACACCATCTGTCCCATCAGAGACATAGTGACCACACCATCCCTCCCATCACAGTGACCACACCATCCCTCCCATCATAATGACCACACCATCCCTCCCATCATAGTGACCACACCATCCCTCCCATCATACTGACCATACCATCCCTCCCATCATAGTGACCACATCATCCCTCCCATCATAGTGACCACACCATCCCTCCCATCATACTGACCATACCATCCCTCCCATCATAGTGACCACACTGTCCCTCCCATCATAGTGACCACACCATCCCTCCCATCATAGTGACCACACCATCCCTACCATCATAGTGACCACACCATCCCTCCCATCATAGTGACCACACCATCCATCCCATCAGAGACATACTGACCACACCATCCCTCCCATCATACTGACCACACCATCCCTCCCATCATAGTGACCACACCATCCATCCCATCAGAGACATACTGACCACACTATCCCTCCCATCATACTGACCACACCATCCCTACCATCATAGTGACTACAACATCCCTCCCATCAGAGACATACTGACCACACCATCCCTCCCATCATAGTGACCACACCATCCCTCCCATCATAGTGACCACACCATCCCTCCCATCATAGTGACCACACCATCCCTCCCATCATACTGACCATACCATCCCTCCCATCATAGTGACCACACCATCCCTCCCATCATAGTGACCATACCATCCCTCCCATCATACTGACCATACCATCCCTCCCATCATAGTGACCACACTGTCCCTCCCATCATAGTGACCACACCATCCCTCCCATCATAGTGACCACACCATCCCTACCATCATAGTGACCACACCATCCCTCCCATCATAGTGACCACACCATCCATCCCATCAGAGACATACTGACCACACTATCCCTCCCATCATTCTGACCACACCATCCCTACCATCATAGTGACCACACCATCCCTCCTATCATACTGACCACACCATCCCTCCCATCATAGTGACCACACCGTCCCTCCTATCATAGTGACCACACCATCCCTACCATCATAGTGACCACACCATCCCTCCCATCATAGTGACCACACCATCCATCCCATCAGAGACATAGTGACCACACCATCCCTACCATCATAGTGACCACACCATCCCTCCCATCATAGTGACCACACCATCCATCCCATCAGAGACATAGTGACCACACCATCCCTCCCATCATAGTGACCAAACCATCCCTCCCATCATAATGACCCCACCATCCCTCCCATCATAATGACCACACCATCCCTCCCATCATAGTGACCACACCATCCCTCCCATCATACTGATCATACCATCCCTCCCATCATAGTGACATCACCATCCCTCCCATCATATTTAGTGACCACACCATCCCTCCCATCATAGTGACCACACCATCCCTCCCATCATACTGACCACACCATCCCTCCCATCATAGTGACCACACCATATCTCCCATCATAGTGACCACACCATCTCTACCATCCGAGCCCTCCCAAGATGACAGCACCTACCTCCATCACAGTAACACACAGAATAGACAACTAGATCAGAATAAGCTCCTGAAATTTTGCAAGTTCCCTTGTCATCGCAGCCGTTCTCGTAACAGCGCTGGAGTTGGAGGGACATGTTCACATTTAGTTTGGGGCAAGGCACCGTCTTCTCACTGCAAGCAATCAACGGTGGGAGGGTCAAGGTCAGTATAAATAAGCAATTGTCAATATCGTTTAAATAGGCAACCATCAAGGTCATAATGGGACGGAGTGGTCTAGCGGTAGAGAGCTGGACTGCTAACCAGTTAGTCTCGAGTTCGAATCCGGGTTCAAGTCAGTAGACCGTCCCTGAGTCCACCCAACTCTGATGGATACCTAAACTAACTAACGTTAGGGAAAGTAAAGGCGGCTGGGCATAGTGCTGACCACACTATCTCTTCATATGCCAAGGTCACAGAAACAAGTGAACTCTACTTCACTTGCCCCATAGACCGTCAGGTTTGAAAGGGAAACTTTACTTTTAACCAGGTCATTTCAAATAAACCACTGTTAGTTATTTATAAATAAATAACTGACAAGGTAATTTTAAGTAAACAACTGGCAATCATTTTAAATATAACTGGCAAGGTAATTTTACAGTGGCAGCTGTCAGTAATCCCTGAGTACACTCAGCTCTAATAGGTACCTGACTTATAATAGGGAAACAAGGGAGCTGGGCCGAAGTAGCTGAAACAGATGAACTCTACTTCATCTGCCTCATGTGTCTTGGACACAAAGGAGGACAGGTGATGCACTGTCAGTGAGTATGTAAAGTTCCCTTTCAAACCTGATGGGCAAGTGAAGTTTACCTGTTTCTGTGACCTCAGCATATGATGGGATAGTGTGTTCACCACTTCAACCAGCTGCCTTTACTTTCCCATCAGAGCTGGGTGAACTCTGGGACGTTCTACAAACTTGAACCCAGATTCAAACTGCGGGTTAGCAGTCGAACGCTATACCATTCAATAAACTGGCACATAGGGCAACTGTATCATTTTAAATAGGCAACTGTATCATTTTAAATAGGGCAACTGTATCATTTTAAATAGGCAGCTGTATCATTTTAAATAGGGCAACTGTATCATTTTAAATAGGGCAACTGTATCATTTTAAATACGGCAACTGTATCATTTTAAATAGGCAGCTGTATCATTTTAAATAGGCAGCTGTATCATTTTAAATATTCCAAGATCCTTATATTTATAGCTAAGGCAAGCTCATTTGAAGAAACTCGTGATAATTTTTTTAAAAATGTAAGTATCTTAAGAGTTACCTGGCCTTGTCAGTGCAGGTTGCCTGTAAGATGATATGCCAAACACCCGTACTGGGGTATGGCACGTACTGCTTAATCTGGCCAAAGTTGACACCAGTGACATAGCGTTCTGCCACGTTGGATACGTTTTTACACACGTCAAAGTAGTCTGTCATGTCAGGCAGGTAGTTGTATATCAGTGCCCCGCACAACCTGACGGCAGTGGTCAGACCCTGAAACAACCCCTTCTCAGTTTTAAACGAAACAAAAACAGCTTAAATAAATGTAGTGAAAGGGCGACAATTTGTGCAGGTACTTGGGTACAGATTAGGGGAGCAGCCCAAAACAGAGTCCGCTGGAGATGTGTGGTTGCAGCCCTTTGCTCCCCAGGGGCCACACAAAGGAATGATGATGATGATGATGATAGCAATGCTGAGTTGAAAGGAAAAACTTTTCCTATAGTTTTTAGAATTTTTTAAAACTCAGTGACAGGCAGACTTAAAAAGTACACAATGACAAACAAAATGACCTGAGAAATACACTCACACAGACCTGGTGATACAAAGTCAATAAAACAGAGAATATCACAAAGACTTACTGACACACTACATGTAATGATACACTGATGTAATGACAACCTAACTTACTGACACACAGACAAACTGACACACACTCTCCCATAGACACTGAAGTAATCACAAACTAATGTAATGACACACTAACTTATTGACACACAGATGTAATGACCCACTAACTAAATTACACACAGACATACTGACCCACAACTTACTGACCCATAGAATTACTGACCAACAACTTACTGACCCATAGAATTACTGACCCACAACTTACTGACCCATAGAATTACTGACCCACAACTTACTGACCCATAGAATTACTGACCCACAACTCACTGACCCATAGAATACACTGACCCACAACTTACTGACCCATAGAATTACTGACCCACAACTTACTGACCCATAGAATTACTGACCCACAACTTACTGACCCACAACTTACTGACCCATAGAATTACTGACCCACAACTGACTGACCCATAGAATTACTGACCCATAGAATTACTGACCCACAACTTACTGACCCATAGAATTACTGACCCACAACTTACTGACCCATAGAATTACTGACCCACAACTTACTGACCAATAGAATTACTGACCCACAACTTACTGACCCAAAGAATTACTGACCCACAACTTACTGACCCATAGAATTACTGACCCACAACTTACTGACCCATAGAATTACTGACCCACAACTTACTGACCTATAGAATTACTGACCCACAACTTACTGACCCATAGAATTACTGACCCACAACTTACTGACCCATAGAATTACTGACCCACAACTTACTGACCCATAGAATTACTGACCCACAACTTACTGACCCATAGAATTACTGACCCACAACTTACTGACCTATAGAATTACTGACCCACAACTTACTGACCCATAGAATTACTGACCCACAGACTTACAGGCAAACAGACTTACACACAGACTTACCTGTGTGTAGTTGAGCATCTTCACTTCCCACCTGAGGGTGCCTCCGTTGTCTGAAGGGCTGACAATTTCAAAAGGTACCACCAGCACACCGGACTTGGACAGATCCACATTAAAATGAAGGGAGTTATAAAACAGGAAGCCAAAGGTCACGGTAAAAGCATGGCCAAAGGCTACTCTGTCCAGAAATGGCATGGTTGTACATCTGTTGGACTTGAAATCTGGCCACATGGAACAACCTGGTAAACAAAGTTTTACAATTCTATTGATAAACAACACATTTACAACTTATATTTTTTTTAAAATAACTAATTAATATTATAAATACAAAAAGTTATATATTTTAAAATAACAACTAATTAACATTATAAACACAAAATGAAGAAAATGTAATTAAATAATAGCTTTTTTTTTTTTAAATATTTAAGATATGTGTATGTTGTATAATCAAGCTATTTGTCTACTTTATCATAAACAAGACAACACTAGAAGTCATCCATTTGTGATGTCCAAAACAAATCCTAATTCCTTCCACCACCCTGGATGGATAAAACCTCTATCCGCACTGTCACATGCAATAAAAGACTCTGTACAAATTAACTCCCAAGTATACTAATGCCCTATTGTTTCTGTACACTTGGCTTCTTCTTCTTCTTCTTCTTCGTTCTTAATTATTAGTGTTGAAGAGGGTCGAGATTTATCTGCCAGTGGGTTTGAACTCGAGACTTTGTTCGAATTTATCAACCATGAGCTTTTTGCCGACTCGACCACGCCTCCAACACAATTAAGCGTTACGTGTCAACTGGTTATGCGCCATTGAGGCCATTGACTCCGATTTCAGCCTGCTTTTCTTTTTGGATTTGCTTCCATAGCCTTTGTCCAACCAAGAACAAACTACAAGGCAGCAGTTGTTTAATTTTGGAGTTGTCTCTCCTAGAAGAGTGGCTGTCCCCAGCTAACGAGCCTCATCTGCCCGAGGGTTCGAACTTGGCAATAGAAATGATATATTGTTTTATTTGAGGCAGTATTTGTGAATATTTTTAGTAGTTGAATTACTTATTAATATTTGTTATTGAATATTAAAAGTAGAATGTTTTAAGAAAATAAATGTAAATATTTTTCACACTTAGTATAAAGGTTCTATAAAAACTGACTTCTGAGTACACAAACTCAACAACAACGTATTGTGTCTATGTACTGAGCGATAGAAATAATGTACAGTTTCTGTATGGAAATACTTGTAAATATTATTATTAGTTTATATAGTTTTTAGTAATCAGATATTAAATACTGAAGGGAGAATGTGTTAAGAAAATAATGAAACTATTATTAAAATATTGATTATTGGCAACCTTAGTTATGCATTATTCTTATTCTAGTAATCTCCTGCCCTTCCCCCCTGCCATTGCGCCACCCCACCACACCCATTTTATATTAAGTTGACTAAGTAATCTTAGAGTCAGGAAAACCAACCCATCTGAGAGTGGAGGTCATAAATATTTTTAGAATAAGGTTTTTAGACTAGATCTGCCTAGAATTATATGATTAAAAGAGGGAAAAATTAAAAACATTCTAGTTTTATTTCTAAAATTACTAGGACCTTTAAAATTATCTTAAAATGACAATTAAGTTTGTAATTTTTTTAAAATTACTAGTGGATAGTGCCTATTATTTGAATAATTTTGAATGTCTATTTCTAAACTTTTAAACTAAAAACTCTAATTTTAAACTTATTAGTGGCTACAGAAAAATGTCTAATTTTAAATGTACAAAAAGAAAATGAAAACTCTAATGTTAAGCTTACTAGTGACTATCTGATGTTTAACTTACTAGTGACTACTATCAAAAAGGTTACTCTCTGATTATTTGTGGCTCCAACAGTACGTATTTCAATCAAATGCAAGTCATTGAGAGGTGGGGAAGGAATGTACAGGGAACAATCGGGTTCCCCGGTGCAGGATTTAATGTATGCTTTGTTCATCTGGCTGGGTAGGTAGGCCAGTCTCACGCTACAGGGCTCAGGGTCACACTGGCTGAGCAGGACACGGAAACTTTGAGTAGACGGAGGAACTTTAAAGCTAGCAGAGGAAAATAAAGAGCGGCGGTTAGTGAGGGTAGGGATGGTTAGTGGGGGTAGGGATGGTTAGTAGGGGGTAGGGATGGTTAGTGGGGGTAGGGATGGTTAGTGGGGGGTAGGGATGGTTAGTGGGGGTAGGGATGGTTAGTGGGGGTAGGGATGGTTAGTGGGGGATAGGGATGGTAGTAGGGGTAGGGGTGGTAGTGGGGGTAGGGATGGTTAGTGGGGGGTAGGAATGGTTAGTGGGAGTAGGGATGATTAGTGAGGGGTAGGGATGATTAGTGAGGGGTAGGGATGGTTAGTGGGGGTAGGGATGGTTAGTGGGGGTAGGGTGGATTAGTGGGGGATAGGGATGGTTAGTGGGGAGTAGGGATGGTTAGTGGGGGATAGGGATGGTTAGTGGGGAGTAGGGATGGTTAGTGGGGGTAGGGATGGTTAGTGGGGGGTAGGGATGGTTAGTGGGGGGTAGGGATGGTTAGTGGGGGTAGGGATGATTAGTGAGGGGTAAGGATGGTTAGTGGAGAGTAGGGATGGTTAGTGGGGGGTAGGGATGGTTAGTGGGGGTAGGGATGGTTAGTGGGGGGGGGGTAGGGATGGTTAGTGGGGGTAGGGATGGTTAGTGGGGGTAGGGATGATTAGTGAGGGGTAAGGATGGTTAGTGGAGAGTAGGGATGGTTAGTGGGGGGTAGGGATGGTTAGTGGGGGTAGGGATGGTTAGTGGGGGGGGTAGGGATGGGTAGTGGGTGAAGGGATGGTTAGTGAGGGTAGGGATGGTTAGTGGGGGATAGGGATGGTTAGTGGGGAGGGGTAGGTATGTTAAGTGGGGGGTAGGGATGGTTAGTGGGGGTAGGGATGGTTAGTGGGGGGGGTAGGGATGGGTAGTGGGTGAAGGGATGGTTAGTGAGGGTAGGGATGGTTAGTGGGGGTAGGGATGGTTAGTGGGGAGGGGGGGTAGGGATGGTTAGTGGGGGATAGGGATGGTTAGTAGGGGTAGGGATGGTTAGTGGGGGATAGGGATGGTTAGTAGGGGTAGGGATGGTTAGTGAGGGGTAGGGATGGTTAGTGGGGGAATAGGGATGGCTAGTGGGGGTAGGGTTGGATAATGGGGGTAGGGATGGTTAGTGGGGGAATAGGGATGGTTAGTGGGGGTAGGGATGGTTAGTGGGGGAATAGGGATGGCTAGTGGGGGTAGGGTTGGATAATGGGGGTAGGGATGGTTAGTGGGGGAATAGGGATGGTTAGTGGGGGTAGGGTTGGATAATGGGGGTAGGGATGGTTAGTGGGGGGTAGGGATGATTAGTGGGGGATAGGTATGTTTAGTGGGGGGTAGGGATGGTTAGTGGGGGTAGTTATGGTTAGGGGGGGTAGGGATGGTTAGTGAGGATAGGGATGGTTAGTGAGGATAGGAATAGTTAGTAGAGAAAATTAAAGAAATGGTGGCTAGTAGGGACATGGATAGTTTAGGTTTCAGAGAGAGGAGATTGTATGATGAAGAGCGGCCATTAATATGACTCGTGTGATGGAAGATGGGGCTAAGAGATGGAATAAAGAGGATTACAGAAGCAAGAGACCATTTGTAATAATGTTCATCTAAAAATTGGATAAAATTATCTACGCTCTCGAGTTCTAGATACACCTGTCAACCGACCTCTGATGTGCTTGACTGAGTTAGAGAAAGACAGTATGGCATAGCCCTGGCCATGTTACGGTAAAAATAAACGTGAACTCTACTTCATCTGTCCTATTGACTATCCGGTCAAAAAATGAAACAGAAAGCCCTTGCTACTCTGCTATTCTATTCATAATTTATCGTGGCCTCTTTACAAGGCAGATTGGTCAAAAATATTTATTAAAAAATTCAAAATTGAGGAATTATGATGAGAAAGTTGTCCGCACACAAGTAGAAGGCAGGGAGTGTCCACAAAAATCTGACAATCAGGTGTCACCTGAGGAGCAGTAAAGCTCTAATTAACCTGTGCAGCAAATCATCTTCATCATACTGCACAGGTGTTTCATCAACATTTACAAATATCCAAGGAAGATAAGCCATTGTCAGATGTGAGTTACGTGCCTTGTTATAAAAATTGTTTTAAGAATAAAAGAGTTCTAAAAACATATTTACTTTAGTTATATTTACTTAAGTTACACACACATATCATATTTATATTATTTAAATATTATTATGTTATTTATACACTTAATATTTTATTTACATGTTTGAAAATATTCTTTAATGTTGTAATAATAACACTTATACAGTTTCATTTACACTTATTAATATTATACGTACACAAAAAACATAAGTTAAAGAATGTTAAAAATGAGAAGGTAACACGACTTTGAGGTTTTTCACTTATCCCTGCCAGGTGCTGGTCCTATTAACCGCAATAACTGTGGGATTCCTGTACTTTGCTATGAGTTATAAGAATAGAATTTCGGCACATTAAATTACAAAACTTGGTAGTTTGTTGTTGAAAAATAAACAAATACGACATAACTGGACCTAAACAAATGAACAGAAGATTTACCTAAACAAAGTGCCCCTGGTGTTGACCTCTGCACTCTGAAGTTGGTTGACGCTGATGGAGATGGTTGGTGTAGCCTCAGGGATTTCCACCCTCGTCAGGTAACTGTACATGCAGTATTTGTCGTCCACGCCCTGAAGATGTATCATGTCTGGGGCTAATGAGACAAGTACTTGTCTTGGTGAATGGGTTGTGTGTTGAGTGAAACAAGCATTTGGTGAATGGGTTGTGTGTTGAGTGAAACAAGCATTTGGTGAATGGGTTGTGTATTGAATGAAACAAGCATTTGGTGAATGGGTTGTGTGTTGAATGAAACAAGCATTTGGTGAATGGGTTGTGTATTGAATGAGACAAGCACTCGTCTTGGTGAACGGGTTGTGTGTTGAATGAAACAAGCATTTGGTGAATGGGTTGTGTGTTGAGTGAAACAAGCACTCGTCTTGGTGAATGGGTTGTGTGTTGAGTGAAACAAGCATTTGGTGAATGGGTTGTGTGTTGAGTGAAACAAGCATTTGGTGAATGGGTTGTGTATTGAATGAGACAAGCACTCGTCTTGGTGAACGGGTTGTGTGTTGAATGAAACAAGCATTTGGTGAATGGGTTGTGTGTTGAGTGAAACAAGCACTCGTCTTGGTGAATGGGTTGTGTGTTGAGTGAAACAAGCATTTGGTGAATGGGTTGTGTGTTGAGTGAAACAAGCATTTGGTGAATGGGTTGTGTGTTGAGTGAAACAAGCATTTGGTGAATGGGTTGTGTGTTGAATAAGACAAGCACTCGTCTTGGTGAATGGGTTGTGTGTTGAGTGAAACAAGCATTTGGTGAATGGGTTGTGTATTGAGTGAAACAAGCATTTGGTGAATGGGTTGTGTGTTGAGTGAAACAAGCACTCGTCTTGGTACACAAATATCCTAATATATAAAAGGCTGTGTGCGCTCTTCTCTCTCTCTGTCTGTCCGCAAAATATTTTCGCCGGACATCACGTCAGAAACGGCAGCGATATATGGAGAACTTTATACGGACTTTTGTTGAAAATAATATGTTAGATGTTTTACATGTATAACCACAATTTTATTTAAAGAAGAAAAATAAAAAATAAAGGCGTATTCGAATGTAGAGAAACAGTATTATTTATGCAACCGGAAAAGCATTAATGGATGTGAAAAAGAACTCATAAAACTGTGACGTCACTATTGCTTATACATTAACTAATGACGTCATCTGCCGTGTTTAGAATAAAAAGAAATGAACTATTTCATTCAAATTTGATTTAGATCTACGTACACTATGAAATGTATACAATACAATTTTTCCGGCCTAAAGATTCTAGATCTAGACTAAATCTAAATCTACGCAATAACTAGATCTAGACGTAGACGCTAAGATCTAGATTTAGACTCTAACTTCTCTAAAATCAATTCCAAAAATAAATTTCTATATTAGGACTAAACTATTTCAAGACTTATTTATTTTATACAAAATCTTTGTTTGGAACTGGCTAATTTGGGATAAAAAAATTAATTTGAAAGAATAGGCATATTCGCGTAAGTTAAGATTTTAAAATACGTGTTTCATTCTCCGAATTTTAAAAGGTGCCTAAATAGCGGAGATGTTAGTGTACTATAAACCACGCGGGTGGTGCGGGTTCGAGACACACCAAGTCAACTTGGTTAATGTATTTTTTTTATTATGCTCGGGCTAAACTTAAAAAAAAAATTCTATTAGGAATCGAGATCTAGATTGTCGGGTGTCCGATAGGGCACTTCCCGGCGCCGCAGGCGCAGTGTTCCCTCTAAGCTGCGCGGCTGCGCGGCCGCGCAGCACTTACAAATATGCCGCGCAGACATTTTCTGATGCCGCGCACAGATTATCAGAACGTCGGGCAAGTCTGATTTACTAAAAAAAATGTGGTCTGTGGCTTGAATTAAGCGACATTTTTAGTGCCTGTTTTGTTAAACGAACAGTCTTTGTGTTTTGGGGCCTCGACCAAACTGATACTTAAAGCTTGTGACCCCTAGGGGAGGGGGTGACCTCGGTTGTCATACCACAGGTCTAGTTAATGACTTAACTCTCAGCTGAGCGGGGCGGGTACCGATGTGATGTCTGGGTGACACTCCCTCTGCTTGATTTAATGGTTTACCCCAAAACTGACCGTAAAAGGGATTGTGGCTACTAGCTGACCATGCAAGGTTTTATTTTCTATTGTCACTGCCCTCCCCCATCTCCCAACCCCCACCCACCTCCTTGATACTATGACGGTTTATCCAAGTCAGATGCAAATTCTAGGTTACTTAAGGTGGATGTGTTTTTACTCTGTTTGGTTTAAGGATTCATATACTATATATCCAATTCTTGGGATTATTACGTGCACCTGGATCGAACTGTTTCAGTATTCACAGACTGGTTTAGTAAATAACGAATAAAAGTGCTATTTGAACACGTTAAAAAGAAAAATGTGTGTAACAAGCGGTAAAACAATGCAGCAAAAAAAAGCGAGAGATTCGTTTAAACTGGAATGGCTCAAAGTTAAAGTAATAACTGATACGCCCGATTCAAAGAATGTTTCAGTTGAATTAAGAAGCATCTATGAATATTTAGATGAGATTGGACTGAAGTGTAAGTTCTGTGCTGCTAATACTTGTTACAAAACCAACAAAGACAACGAATTTGTCACAGGAAAGCGTTGGGAATCATGGAAACTTGACTACTGTAAACGTCATTTGTCTCGTGTTCACGAGGAAAATGTTGCGATTTTGTACACCGGCTCAAATGGGACTGGTCTTAAACGTCTGCTGGTTGAAACTAACACTGAGCGAGAAGAACGAATTGAACAAAATGAGCGCCAGCGGTCAAACGAGGATCAAGTTCGAATCCACAGTTTACACTTTATTTAGTCGATCTTCAGTTAAAAAGGGTGCACTTGAAGAATTGGCCAAGTTGCATGATATGGATGTAATTTCTTTTCGACCAATTCATGAAGTTCGTTGGTTGTCACGTCACTTTGCTGTCAGTGCTTTTGCAAGAAATATTGATGCTTTAGCTGCTTACTGTGAAGAACAAGTCCAAGACTACAATGATCATGTTTGTTGTTATGTTTTGAGATCATTAAGAGATCCCCTGTATCAAGTTGCTCTTTATACCGTTAATGATGTATTAACTGAATTAGCTAATCTATCAATGCTGTTGCAGCGAAGTAATTTATCATCTATTGAAGCACATCAATTTTGCATTTCTAAAATACGCAAATTAGAAGCACAATACCTGAGTGAAGATGTATATTGGAATGATAATGCCAAGAAAATTTTGAATGAAAACGTAGGAATCGACACAAGACAAATCACACAGTTTATACGATCGGTCTGCGATCATTTAAATGTAAGGTTTCCAGGAGATGAATTGCAGTTTTGTTCAGCTTTTGATCATACTGGTTTAAAAATTGTGCATTTGAGTTTGGCGTCAAAGAGATCAAACAACTGTGCGTTAAGTGCAAAGACTTGTTACAAACAACAAATGAAGAGTCAATTATCACGCAATACAATGACTTCAAATTTCAGATCAGTGAAAAACTCAAATCAGGTTCAGTAAATTCACTAACTGAAATCGCAGGAGTTGCCTTAAACGATGAACAATTTAGCTCATTGGCAAAGTTAATTGACATATGCTGTACTTTTCAAGCATCCAGCGCTGATTGCAAGCACGAAATAGACATGAAGCCACACATTTGGGAAATCTAATGCGAATTAAATAATATCTAAATGCTGGAGAGGATGTGGATTTAAACAAAGCATATACGGTGTGGAAGCAAGGCAATGTTAGACGCGAGAAATTGCAATAAATGCCCCTGAAAGGTTAGCTAATTTTGTTTTCAAGTCAGCTTTTTAAAATGGTTAACATGTTAAACTGTTGTATTTGTATTACCGTTATGGTATTAACATTATTAACATATGATTTCATTACACTAACATAGTAAGTCGACCATATAACCTGTTGTCTAAGTATAACTCTGAAAGTTTCTGTTGTGTATTTTATTTTGATGGGATTCGTATCTTCTTTTAATTGCATACGTTTCACTAGTCCTACACATTATTCTATTAATTTATCAAAATGCATGCCTTCATTACTCTGCTTAATTGCAAGCCTAAACATACATATAAAGTTGCCCAAGTCATTTTTAGCACCGCGCACACAACATATTTTTTGCACACACACTCTTGGTCCTTAGAGGGAACATTGCGCAGGCGCTTCAATTTGGCAGGATCTTGCCTTGGGGCGACAGAACACGGGGGCCGGTTGACCGAAAAGTCTACGATGAGGGGGTCAAAACTGACCTCGACTGACCGGCGCCTTATATGAGCTATAATTCGAAAAAAAATGTCCACGGAGAAACCTCTTCATAACTCTTGAGGTCGTAGACCGACCCTCGGGCGAATTAATTAAGCATTCAAATTCTCAATGTTTTCGAAAGCCTAAGCGAAGCTGGGCAGCATGCCTAGTGTGTTATAAGGCTAGATAAAGCACCTAATCTGGAAGACACTGCTGCTTCACATATTTCTGTTATCATAACATTCAGAGAACTGACAAAACTGCATTATGTTCTTTAATCCCATATTACTTTGGTTTCCAGAAAAAGCGCAGCTGGGAAATGAGCAGTATAAAAATGCACAACAGAACAGTTGCGAAAACACAAAAATGTGCTACTACAAACTCATTATCATAACAATACAGTTTTGTTGGGTTGAATTTCATGGAAATATTTCTTTTTATTATGCTACATTTTATATGTGGTCATTCTTTGCTAATCTTTTTGAATTAATAACTTAAAAAAAAAGTCCAATATGCAGTTGTGTGCCAATTACCCAATGCGCAAATTTCCTTTACCGTGTATGTCTCATCCTTCATCATCTATTCCCGTTTGTGCCCACGACACAAGAGGAGATGAAGTAGAGTTAATCTGTTTCCGAGACCCCATCATATCAAGGAATATTGTGGTCAGCACTACTTCCTTTGTTTTACCAAACGTGAGTTAGGTACCCATCTGGTGGGACTCAGGGACATTCTCATTACTTGAACCCGGATTTGAACTTGAGACTTTCAGGTTAGCAGTCTTAGCTCTCTACCTCTAAACCACACTGTCCTCGTCTCTAGTCTCATCCTTAGGGTAATATTTCTCCCAGTTAACTGGTTTCAAACTTTTACCTTACCTTAAGTGCGATTTTATCTTTAAGGAAATCATAGGTGTAGTAGGCGACGAGAAACCATGGCCCTGGGATTGGCCTGGGGATAGTCATTGCCACTAGCTGCCCCACCATAATGGTCACGTTCAGAGTTGGAGTCTCCGTGATAAAGCCTGGGGGATACAAATCCCGGTCCAGCTGGATTAGTGGCAGTCCCCCATGGTCAATCAACCTGTCAAGATTTTAAAATGAAAATTGTTTTGCATTTAATTTGAATAATGAAGTTTAAAATGCATGGTAAGTCTGATTATTTATCTATAATTGATAAGTGAAAGATAATATTTTTAAAAATTTGAAATAGCACATCTGTGAACAAAAAAACAGTAATAAAAATTGTGCGGTAGTGTATGCGGGGGCTTTCAAGAGCGCTCCTCTAAGTCCCTGACACCTGGATGGTCACTGAATTGTGTTCTACCTCACTATTACGGTAACCCGGATAAATATGATCCAAGCGCAGGCATTGTTTACATTTAAATAACTCAGTTTTAGAAAAAATGGTCGCACGTCTAAGAATATAGGATTGGTAACACATTGATGAAACCCTTCTTATATATTTTGTCAGAATAAACAATTTTGATCCAGGGACACAGAGAAGCCTTGAGGATAGCTTCATCTGGTGATGAGAATAAGCAACATCAAGATATCAAGGACAGCATGGGGCAATTGGCTAAAGGTTTAGGAATTTTAACTACCCCAACCCACTGGCCAATCCATGACAGTCACGCAGGGGAAATAGAAATGGACTAGACTGTCCAATGAAGAATTACTAAAGCAGTATAGAACTGTAAAAGTTGGCAATCATTATAGAAAATCAACATGATGCCCTAAAGACTCATCGGGTAATGGTTTAGATCAGGGGTCTCCAAACTTTTCAGCCCGAGGGTTGCATTAATTACAAAATATCAGTTCGGGGGCCTGAGTTTCTTCCAGGAATTTCTTCGAGTTTGCAAATCTTCCCCCCCCCCCCGCCAAAGAACGTCTCCCCCCCCCCAACGAGGTATCATTTCTATTGGGCTTGTAAGTTGTTAAAGTAGCTTACCAAGTTCTCGCTCCGGTAGTTGCCAGCTGGCGTTTTTTTTTGTTTTTTCAAACCAAATGTGAATATTTTTTATTTTATTTTTTTTAAGTTATGAAATCTACTTTCGTTTTTGGAATAAAAAAAACTCCGACAATAAGTTGTTTTAAGTAAATTAAGTTTAAAATAACACACACACACAAATATATTATATTTTATATAGATCTAGATAGATCTAGAATACAACCTGTATAATAATAATACATCTATAATCTATATAAAATATGATATTTATAGGCCTAAAAGATTTCAATCGTAAATCTGAAATCAAGCCTAATTTAATTAATAAATATATATAGCCTAGATCTAGAGTCTAGATTTCTAGATCTAGAATTCTATATCTAGATCTATGACTTAAAAAAAAACCCTCTTGAAAATTCCGACTTAGACAGTAACATACGACAGACAGGATTTATTTTTAATTTATAGACTCAAGAGTAGTCTAGAGATCTAGATTCTAGATCTAGTTTCTTTTATTTTACAGTGTAGTTGAGTGGAATTAATTACTAAATTACTAAATAGGCTATTTACTTTAAGACAGGTAGACTAGAATATGTTCAATATCAATTTATATATAGAATCTAGATTATTCTAGATCTAGCGAAGTTTAGTGTAGTCTTGTTGTAGAACTTAAGAACTAAATCTAGAGTGTAGGCAACTGTAGTAATTTAGATCTAGAATCTAGTACTGTGTGACGTCATTTTAGGGGGTGGGGGTCTGGCTTTTTGTGACGATGTGTAGGGGGAGGGGGGGGGAGGTAAAAATCGTCAAAAAAATGCGTGACGTCATTTATAGATGACCCCCATGGAGAAGATGAAGGAAAGGGGCCTAACATTTAAACAGGTAGAGGTACCAACATGATTTTAGAGATTATGTAGATATACATATATATATATATATAGGGGGAGAGGTAGAGAGAGAGAGGGTTCATCTGTAAATTGCATCACACATTTTATGATGATTTTTACCTCCCCCTCATAAAGGAGGGCAGTAAAAAGAAGAATGTATGATAGCTGGGTAATCCTAATTTATATAATCAGATTATTGTGGTAAATAAAAGTCAACATATCTAGCCTAACAAAATGCCATGAATTTAAAATATATATTATGACTTAGAGAAAGTTTGGTGAAATGGAAATATCTGCAAATTTGATTTATTGATGATGTGTAACTTGTTTATATTATTCCTTTGGAGCTGATATTAATAAAAAGTTAATGAAATTATAGAGTTTTATCCAATTGATGTTTCTAAAGCCTTGCATGAACTTAATTTAAATTTTCCAGAATTGGCTTGTCGTTTGACCGATGGTAACAAAGAGAATCACCCAGGATCTTCGCTGATAAGAAAATCTGAAGACATACCTTATTCTTCTATATCTAAATGTGATTTGTCTAATGAAAATATTTATTCAGTGACAATTGCTAAAGATATTTTACCATTATTTCAAACATCATCTTCTGAAATGTTGTTTTCTATCTCTAAACCTTCCACAATTTCTTCAAGTTTCAAGAGATATTTTAACATCATTGCCTTCTTCCCACAGTTCTTATGTTCAAAATTTGCAATTTTCTGAGAAACAAAGTAATAATAAATTTGTACCCAGTGTTTTAGTTTCAGCTCCATTAAAATTTAATAAACCAATCAATTTCAAAATTAAATGTTTCTTATCCCATATGAAAGTAGTCTGTTTTATTTAAGAAAAATCACCTTTAAAAAAATGTAATGTTTGAATGTCAATAAATTGTTGACATGGACTGGTTTGCGGGTAAGCTTTTATACTTAGTGTACAATAAAGATTCAGTTTTGATGTCAATATAGTTGCTTCTGAAAGAATTAAACTATAAACAATAGCATTTATATTAATATCTCAATGGCAGTTCAGTATACTTTCATCATTGTTTTCAAATAACAAAACAGAACTACAGTTTTAAAATTGAAAAAAAAAAATGAAAAGAATTTCATAAATGGATGTTTTTTTAATTACTTAAAACAGAAGATGCATCAATACAGCATTACAATGTATATGATTAATATTTCTTTTCATGGACAATCATCATTTAAATTCTTCATTAAAAGTTAAATTCAGCTTCCTTGTGTCTAAAAATCCACATCCATGCTGTTCCATTTACCTAGAAATTAAATAAATAATATTTTTAACAACTTTCTGTAATATGAAAAAATTAATCAGTGACTAAAACAGACAGCCAATATAGCAGTTGAATTAAAATTCACCTGTTTCTGTGACATTTGCATGTAAAATTAGAGTGTTCAGAGGTATATACCCAGCCACCTTTAATTTCCCTATCTTGAGCCAGGTACTCATGAGAGCTGGTACTCATGAGACTTAGGACATCATACCAGGACTAAAACCAGGGATCTGAACTCTTATCTTTTAGGATAGAAATGTGAAAGCTACTGTCTGACAGTCCCACTATCAAGCCATACATATTAATACTTACAGTATATAATCTTAGTAGCAACATATTCTTTAAGAATTAGAACACTGAATCGATTTCAAACTTGGGCTTAAGCTGAAAAATGGCTTATTATAAAAAAAAAATTCAGCTCACCTTTAGTTCAAGATCAGCACCAATAGCCACAGTAAAGTGTGAGAAAATTGCTTGCCAAGTACCTAGGGAATTTAAATATAATAAATTATTAAGTTTATCCATACATATATTATATTAAAATAATTATTTAACTAATAATATGAGATATTAATATATATATATATATATATATATATATATATATATATATATATATATATATATATATATATATATATATATATATATATATATATATATATATATTTATTTATTTATTTATAAAAGGTTTAATTTATTGTAAAGGTTCAGTTTTCTATCTACTTAGCTTGTCTTAAAAACTAAAATATCTGGTTTACAGTTAACCATATCTTAACTATTACAAAACTATTAGTTTCATTTTCATTACTTGTAACTAAAAATTGTAGTCAATAGATCTAAAACTTAATTCTATTAACAGCTAACTGTAACCATACTGACTCTGACCAATTTATTAATTTTTGTACCCTGTAATTCATTAATAATTAGGCTTATACTAAAAGGCCGAAAGTTATCAATTGTAGATTTTATAGTCCCTGGTCTAGACTAACAAGACTAGCCTACAAGTCTAATAGTACTAATACACATGATCTAGTTTATAAGTTTACTACTAGGCAACTTGCTAGAAGACTAGTATTTAACCAAACTTTAACTTGCTAAAAATAAAAGGGCCTAATACAATAGTAGATGGCCTAGTAATACTTTTTTTTTACTGTGCTACTTACACTGCTTTTGGTACTATTACTATGACTAACTAACTACTAACTAAACTCTATTGTAGCTTGATGGAGATCTATCATCTTGCTCTTCTAGTAGTCTACACTACTTACTACTTAGAAAAGTAGTAGCACTACTGTAACAATTTCAAACTAAATTTAATCTATATATTACTAGATCTACTCATTGCAACACTGTAGTCTGATAAGTCTGTAAGCCCTAAATGTATCTAGACCTAGATTCTAGTCTAATTTAGTTTCAGTCTAGTTATTAGTACCTACACTCTACAATAGTCTACAGTACTCTACACTACACTCTACTACTACTCTAATCACTATACTGGCTACTGATCTAGAAAATAGCTAGAGTAGATCTAGTCTAGATTCTAGATATAAAAAAATTGATTTAAAATTAAAAACAGGTTAGCCTTACTAGGCATTACTAGCTCTTACTAAACTTAACTAGGGTAGGTTTTACCTAAACTAGATCTAATCTAGATCTAGAATCTATCTAGATCTACTAGTCTACTACTAGATTCTCTAGAGCTAGATCTAGATTTTAGATCTAGGGCCTACCATACTACCATCTGCAACTAGAATCTAGATCTAGATCTATTCTACTATCTCTATCTAGATCTAGTAATACTATCTATCTAGCCATCTATCTACAAGCTACTTCTAATAACTAATAGTCTAATACAGACTAATAGGCCTACTTCTAAAATATTAAACAGTAATCACTGAGTAATCAGTACTAGATCTAGAGTCTAGTTCAGTAATCTAGCTAGATCTAGGTCTATTATTAACATTAACATTGTTGTCTAAGTTCTAGATATCTAGATCTAATATCTAGAATCTAGATTCGATTAATATTTTATTAATATTTAATAAGTATTATTAACTATTAAGTAAGTCGTAGGCTGAGTGAGACTGGAAGTCATCCTCATTTTCCTGTTGTTTTAGTTTTTACCGTCATCCTTTTCTTAATATTTTTAATATTTTATCTAGATCACTAAAATACTAGCTTCTAGATCTAGAATCTAGATCTAATATATTCTAATTCATGAACTTATACTCTTAGAACTAGATTAAAGCAAAGTAGATCTTAGTTGGTAGATTCTAGAATCTAGGTCTAGGTCTGGGAATCCTAAGTCTCGTAGCAAAGACTGAGTAGAGTCAGAGTAATGTCCCCTAGCCTTGGACAAACTATCAACAAAAGAAATAAAATCAATATACTTACCGCCACAAAACTTTTATATTCAAAAATGCATACACATGTGTTTTTTCCCATCCATATGAACAAAACAGCGTTGAAAGTTTTTACAGTTGTTGCATTTCTGGAACGTTTGATGATTTTGAAATCTTGAAGCGGGACCTACTAACAAATAGCCGCCATGTTTTTTGTTATCAATGGGAAACCCCGTTCACAACAATTGATTTAGTTCGAAAACTTTTATCTCTCCCTGGCTAACCAGACACGAATTAACGCGAGAAAGAACGATAAACTTACAAGTTCTATAGGAATATTTACAAATTTCTGAAAGAAACACTGTCAGGGGCCAACAACACACTTGAGGTCCAAGTTTGTTCTCAAATTGTTGTTCACGTATTTCATTCTTGAAAATGTTGTTCCGAAATTTGAAAGGTACTTTGATGCAAAAGTTTTAATATTATGAAAGTCTTCCTTTGGCAAAAACTTATTTAAAAACCTTATAGAACCCACCCGCCCTTCTTTGAACTTGTCTCTAAGGAGGTCATTTGCTTGAAATTCAATGACCTCCAGATGCTGTTCATCTGGGCTCCAAATTTTACTTTCCTTGTAGTTTTAGGTTCAGAAGATTTAAATGACTAGTTATGACTGCAGCAAAGGTCAATTTCCATACCCACTCTTCATCAGACATTAATGGCTGTGGCTTGCCTTTACTTTCCAGTAAGTCACCTATTTCCTTGCTTAAATTAAATACTCTGCTCAGAACTTTCCCACAATTTAGCCATCTTACTGTTGAATAATATGGTAAATGCTGCGTTTCTGTGTTTGTATCTTTCAACATGTCTCTGAACTATCTATGGTTGAGCCCATGTGGCTTTATTAAATTCACCATCTTCACCACAGGATTCAGTACACAGCTAGTGTCCATATATTTAGCACACAAAGCTTGCTGGTGAATAATACAGTGCAGGAACACTGGTTGTAAAATGTTTTTCTCATTTGCTTGTCCAACCAAGCCTTTCTTTATGAAACTCATGTACTTTCCTCCATCAACATTCAGCTAAGGTTAGTCCAGTCCAAGTTATAATCAGCATTTTTAAAAAACTCATTGAATATATCCTCTCCGGTAAAAGTAACATACATGCTATGTAGGGAAGCCAGCTCTTGTGTTATGTTTATGTCTTCAGTCACACCTCTAATGAACACAAGCAGTTGAGAGGTGGAACGGCTGTCCAGCGACTCATCCATTGCAATTGAAAAATGGCTTAACTTGCTTGCATTTTTCGCTATTTGAGTCACGATGTTTTCACCAATGTCTGCCGCACAGCGGGCAATGGTATTTGCACCCAAAGCTACATTTTCAAATTGTTTTGAATTTTCTTGGCAAAGTTCCTCAGCTACCTCCAACAAAAAAACTTTCCGTGGATAAAAAGATTTCTGCGGGTCGGATGAGAAGACCTCACGGGCAGCATCCTGCCCGTGGGTCATAGTTTGGGGACCCCTGGTTTAGATGGTTAGAAAGAACTACCCAAACAGTAGAGGGAAATCATCATCATCTTTTCCCAAAACACATGGGGTAGATGAAGTAGTGTTGATCTATTTCAATGAGCACAGGATACAGGGAGATAGTGTGGTCAGCACAATTCCCAGCTGCCCTAGTTTCCCTAACGTGAGTCATAGCTGGATAGACTAAGGAAACACCCTACAGACTCAAACCCAGGATCCGGACTCAAGACTTTCAGATTAGCAGTTGTGAGCTCTATCATCCAACTAAATGTCACCTGAAATGGGGGCACTGGTCTCTACAAGGACAGAACATCTTGAACAAGTTTTTCTAGCTGACCAGAAGCACAGGATGGAACAAGGGGAGGGGGTGATAACACATTAGGAACAGGGTGATACCATCCACAATGGGGGGTGACAACACATTAGGAACAGGGTGATACCATCCACAATGGGGGGTGACAACACATTAGGAACAGGGTGATACCATTCACAATGGGGGGTGACAACACATTAGGAACAGGGAGATACCATCCACAATGGGGGGTGACAACACATTAGGAACAGGGTGATACCATCCACAATGGGGAGGGGGTGACAACACATTAGGAACAGGGAGATACCATCCACAATGGGGAGGGGGTGACAACACATTAGGAACAGGGTGATACCATCCACAAGGGGGGGGGTCACAACACATTATGAACAGGGTGATACCATCCACAAGGGGGGGGGGGTCACAACACATTATGAACAGGGTGATACCATCCACAATGGGGGGGGGGGGTGACAACACATTAGGAACAGGGTGATACCATCCACAAGGGGGGGGGGGTGACAACACATTAGGAACAGGGTGATACCATCCACAATGGGGGGTGACAACACATTAGGAACAGGGTGATACCATTCACAATGGGGGGTGACAACACATTAGGAACAGGGTGATACCATCCACAATGGGGGGTGACAACACATTAGGAACAGGGTGATACCATCCACAATGGGGAGGGGGTGACAACACATTAGGAACAGGGAGATACCATCCACAATGGGGAGGGGGTGACAACACATTAGGAACAGGGTGATACCATCCACAAGGGGGGGGGGGTCACAACACATTATGAACAGGGTGATACCATCCACAATGGGGGGGGGGGGGGTGACAACACATTAGGAACAGGGTGATACCATCCACAAGGGGGGGTGACAACACATTAGGAACAGGGTGATACCATCCACAAGGGGGGGGGTCACAACACATTAGGAACAGGGTGATACCATCCACAATGGGGGGGTCACAACACATTAGGAACAGGGTGATACCATCCACAATGGGGGGTGACGACACATTAGGAACAGGGTGATACCATCCACAATGGGGGGGGGGGGGTGACAACACATTAGGAACAGGGTGATACCATCCACAATGGGGGGGGGGGGGGGGTGACAACACATTAGGAACAGGGTGATACCATCCACAATGGGGGGTGACAACACATTAGGAACAGGGTGATACCATTCACAATGGGGGGTGACAACACATTAGGAACAGGGAGATACCATCCACAATGGGGGGTGACAACACATTAGGAACAGGGTGATACCATCCACAATGGGGGGTGACAACACATTAGGAACAGGGTGATACCATCCACAATGGGGAGGGGGTGACAACACATTAGGAACAGGGAGATACCATCCACAATGGGGAGGGGGTGACAACACATTAGGAACAGGGTGATACCATCCACAAGGGGGGGGGGGGGTCACAACACATTATGAACAGGGTGATACCATCCACAATGGGGGGGGGGTGACAACACATTAGGAACAGGGTGATACCATCCACAATGGGGGGTGACAACACATTAGGAACAGGGTGATACCATCCACAATGGGGAGGGGGGTGACAACACATTAGGAACAGGGAGATACCATCCACAATGGGGAGGGGGTGACAACACATTAGGAACAGGGTGATACCATCCACAAGGGGGGGGGGGGTCACAACACATTATGAACAGGGTGATACCATCCACAATGGGGGGGGGGGGGGTGACAACACATTAGGAACAGGGTGATACCATCCACAAGGGGGGGGGGTGACAACACATTAGGAACAGGGTGATACCATCCACAAGGGGGGGGGGGGGGTCACAACACATTAGGAACAGGGTGATACCATCCACAATGGGGGGTCACAACACATTAGGAACAGGGTGATACCATCCACAATGGGGGGGGGTGACAACACATTAGGTACAGGGTGATACCATCCACAATGGGGGGTGACAACACATTAGGAACAGGGTGATACCATCCACAATGGGGGGTGACAACACATTAGGAACAGGGTGATACCATCCACAATGGGGGGTGACAACACATTAGGAACAGGGTGATACCATCCACAATGGGGGGTGACAACACATTAGGAACAGGGTGATACCATCCACAATGGGGGGGGGGGTGACAACACATTAGGAACAGGGTGATACCATCCACAATGGGGGGTGACAACACATTAGGAACAGGGTGATACCATCCACAATGGGGGGGGGGGGGGTGACAACACATTAGGAACAGGGTGATACCATCCACAATGGGGGGGG